TATAATAAAACTTAAAATTTTAACAGATTATTTAAATATTTTTCATTATATATGACTAATGAAATATAAAAATGTTTGGACAAAAACTAATGAAATAAAAATATAATTATTGAAAATTATTTTATCTAACTTTAAAATTTATTTATAAAATTATTGAACATACAATATTCTTAAAATTTTAAACTATCGTTAAATATAAGGATGAAAATAAAGAGATGTAAAAGGCAAGAAATGAACAACATTCGTAAGTAAATATGAAAGTAGAGTTTTTTGTACAAAATTTTCCCATATTTTGGGATAGAGGTTGGAGGAAAAAGTATGTAAGTTCTACATGTTATTTTTCCCTCAATTTCCTCTCGAGTTAAAGTATAAATCTGCCCCTTGAAGTTTTTACAAAAGCATGATTGGTATCATAAAGTATTTAAAGGCACAATGTCGCCAAAACATTTTTCAAAACAATACAAGTTTACCCTGGACTAACAGATTTAAACTTTGACAGTCAATTTTATCGCTAACTACAAGGATGGCCTACCACATGGCATATATTTAAAAAAATAATGTGGCTTTTTTGTTTATCGGAGTCAGACAATCTTCCCTTCTTTCCTCTATATCGTGACAGAGCTCTAAAACAACCATGGCTTTACACAGTTTCACTTTTAGATCTGAACCACCTGTGGCTTAGTCATTTTCTCTCTTCCTCCTTCTCTTGTGGCTTTGCTTCAGCTTCTTCTTCTTCCCCTCACTTTTCGAGGTTTGATTCACCTAAGATCCCATTACTATACTGGTTGCTTGAGCTTCTTCTTCTCCTCTTCATTTATTGAGATTTGAATCAGAGGGTTAGAGTATAAATTTGTCCCCCAAAGTTTTTTGGAAGCGCACTTAGTATCATAAAGTATTTAAAGGCACAAAGTCACCACAATGTTTTTCAAAACGGTACAATTTTACTTGGACTAACGAATTTAAACTTTGACAGTTAACTACAATGCTGGCCTGCCATGTGGCATTTTTTTTATGAAGTTATGGTTATTTTAAAAATTTTAAAAAATTAATATGTGGCTTTTTTTCACTAAAGTTAGACAACGTTCCCTGCTTCCCTCCTCATCATGACAGAGCTCTAGAACAACCATGGCTTTGCAAGGTTTCACTTTTAGATCCGAACTACCCATGGCTTGGTCATCTTCTCTCTTCCTCCTTCTCTCACAACTTTGCTTGAGCTTTTTTCTCATTCCCCTCACTTTTCAAGGTTCAATTCATTGAGATCCCACTTTCACCATTTTAGCTACTTGAGCTTCTTCTTCTTCTCTTCACTTTTCAAGATTTAAATCATCAAGTTAAAGTATAAATATGCTCCCTGAGGTTTTTTCAGAAGCATAATCGATATCATAAAGTAAAGGCACAATATCACTACACCATTTTTCAAAAAGGTACAATTTTACCTTAAACTAATAGCTTTAAACTTTGATACTTAGTTTGATTGTTAATTGACATGGTGGCCTACTATGTGGCATATATTTTATGAAGTTGTGGTTATTTTAGAATTGAAAAATTAATGTGTAGTTTTTTTGTCCATAGGAGTCAAACAACTTTCCCTTCTTTCCTGTTCATCGCGATAAAGATCTAAAACAACTATCGGTTAACATGGTTTCACTTTTAGATATGAACCACCTATGGCTTGGTCATCTTCTCTCTTCCTCCTTCTTTTATGGCTTTGCTTGAGTTGCTTCTTCTTCCCCTCACTTTTCAAGGTTTGACTCATCGAGATCTTACCTTCACCATTCCAACTGCTTAAGCTTCTTCTTCCCCCTTCACTTGTTGATATTCAAATTGTCTAGATTTGCAATTACGATCACCCATACCTTTTGCTTAATTTGGCTTTACCCATTTCGATTGCCTTGAGTTCAACTCCTCCAAGGTTGATTACTAATTCTTTGACTCCAAGCTTTGATTCTGGCATCCTTCAAGTCTTGAAGATCTCTCTAAGTTAAAACACTTGAAGCTTAAGTATAATAACATTTTGGGTCCTCTTCCTTGCTTAAAATGGTAAGGTTCTTTACAAGTGCTTATTCTTGGTAACAACTAATTTAGCTCAATCCCTATCGATTTTTTATTGGTGTGTCCTAACTTTAATTTGTGGAGACTAATAACAACCCAAGGAATAGGAGATACCTTATAGTCTTCAAGACGCTTTATCCCTTTAGAATTTCTTAACCAACTCAACTTATATCACAAGCAAAATACTAGATTTTCTTATTGAAAATGTGTTTCTCAATTTGATCCTTTTGCATTTGTCCTTCAATAACCTTGATGGCATGTTTGCTGTGAGCTTTTCCAGTTTAACCCTTTTGTTCACTCTCACAATTAGATATTTTTCATTTGCTAGTTTAGTTTCTCTCCTTGGTTGCTAGCATAGAGAGTAGAGAGATAGAGTGTGTTTGTTGAGAAGAAGTTAAAGAGTAGTATGGTAATAAAGAAATTCCAGCTAAGGAATTGATTTAATTTAAAGAAAAGGGTTAAGAGTAAAAAATGTCCCTAAAATGTATACAAAGGGTCACAAATAACCTTAAAGTTAACTATGAGTTATTTATATCTCTTAATCTCAAAATTTTTTTTGCTTCATTACCCTCTTATTTTTTCCGTCCTTTTTTGATAATGGGGCTCACTTTTAAATTTTTTAATATTTTTATTATAAAATATGATATAGTAGGTCCCACCAATATTTTTTTATAATATAAAAAATTCTTCTTTTCCTCTAGCATAAATTTAATAATGTGCTTGCATAGTTGAGCATTTGTCCTTATTCGCCATCCTTGTTTGACCAACAGTACCATTGGCAAGACAATCACCAATGCCGATGTCAAACTTTTTTCTAGAAAAGTCACCTCTAGTCTCTGCCGTTGACATATAAATTCTTTGATTTTGCAACAACAATGCTATTTCTTTCAATCGTCGTTGATAAGAGCTATATGGCTCCTTATTTACACCCTCTTTCATGCATTCTCAATCCTTATCCATTTATCTCACTTAACTCGCTATCTCCCTCTTGATGATTTTCATAGCCTCCTTCTTCTTCCTTTGTTTGAGTTTACTTCTACAACAGCCATGCATGTCCATGAACACACCAAGTTTCATTAATGAAATCCTAGAAATTGACCTCTTTGACCATCAAGCAAAGACCCTTATAGTTAAAGCCTCTTAAGACTTCGGCTTCTTCAAGCTCGTCAAGCATGGTGTCCCATTCGACCTTATCTCTAACCTCAAAGCACAGGCTCTCAATGATAAGAAACTGCTTAAGATCTTGAATTTGTATGCTAACAGTAGAGGAATATGTATCAATAGTAAAGAAGCTGAGCTATGAAGTGCTGGAAGTAATGCCAAAAGGGCTTGGGATAGAATAGAAACTGGATACTAATACTAGTGTTGTCCTCTATTCTCTACATACTATGTTGGACTTAAAGGCTTGACTCATCCTCTGTTCTTTGAAGCCACATGTACATGGGCTCGTGTTGACCACCACGAGTAGGAATTGAATGCGAATACACATAGAAAGAGAAGCTTTGGAAGTGATTGGGTGAGTTCTTAAACCCCATATTGATGGCTATTGTACATCATGTCCTTTTCCATCTTGATGAACACGATGTACACTGTGTCCTTCTCTACCTCCACATATGCTTTATCATCAATGGCTTTTCCGTTCACACCACACTATTATAGGTCATCTTTCTTCATCTTTCTCCAATTCTATCTTAGAAAGTGAGCATTGATTGAGAAGATGATGAACTTGGAGATTGTGTCGATAGCAATATCTGAAGGGAAAGTTCATGCAAACAGGACATAGAGGAGAGAAGGGAGAGAGAGAAAGAGACGATTAGGAGGAGAGAGAGATACAAGGTAAGAGCAGAGAGAGGGAGAGACAAAAAGAAGATGAAAGGTAATCAAGTTATCACAGAGAGAGGGAGGGGAGAGAGAGGATAGAATAAAATAATGTGGGGCCTATATTTTATAATAAAAAATTCAAGACGTGGGACCCAACTTAATGGACGTCAGACTTGTTTGATGTCAAGGTGCTAAGAGGAAGAATCTTTTATGTTGAGGGGCAAAAATGATCATAAGTTGAGTTTATAGTCTTTGTTGATCTTTTGTATATAATTGAGGGGTAAAAATGATCTTTAATAAAAAAAATCTAGAAGCCATATAAGCATAATTTGTCAATTGATGGTCAAACATTAAGGTTTGTTAATATAAGTATACCATTTTTAAAAATGTCATAGCGATATTATGCTTTTAAATATTTTAGAATGCAAAAATTTCAAAGACAAATTTATACTTCAACTCATTTTTTCTTCATCCCATTTTACTTTTCTTAAAAAAAAAAACAAAAAAATTTTCCTTTACTTTCCTCTCCCGCCAAACATAACAAAAGAAGACCATCATGTCCTCCAAACATCCACACAAGCTCGATATAATATACCTATATTCCAATTCAATGTACATTCGGTCAAAAAAAAAAAAAAACTCAATGCATATACTATATGCGTAGTTTATACTTGACGCGGAGTAAATGAGCAATTCTCTCGCATATGGATCTCTTGCCATCCGCGGGTCTCCTTTTCGTATTCCACGAATACCCCTTATCCATCATGAAAAGGGTAAAATAGGCATCTAAGATTGCTAAAGAAGGGCTGCCTTGTCTTTCTACTGCTCAATGCAGTGGCATATCTGTCTATATGGCGTACTATTTCAGTAAATATCAAAGTAGTTGGAGGGCAATATCGTCATTGTTGGAAATTAATTTTTTATGGCTTGCCAAAGTAAAATATTAATGCTATATCAATGCGGGGACCACCGTCGCTTCCCCACCACAGCCAAGCAATTTCTATTTTAAAATTTGAGAAGGAATAAAATATTTAAACAAAAATCGTTAGAATATTTTCCAAAATATTTTAATATTCTAACGCTCTTTTTAATATTTCTTTGGTTTCTTCTCCTTCGCTTCTTCTATGGAATCCCCTCTCAATGGCTTCTTCAGAAATCCAAATTTCATCTCTCTAAGGTTTCTCTCTCTACGATTACTCTCTCTCTCTACCACCCATTATCTTGTTTTGTTCACCGTGGAAGCTCATTGCATTACTGATCTGTGCTTGGATATCTGTTGATTCTGCTTCGATTCTCTCCTTGTCTCATAACTGGTGAATTCTACCTCTTTCAAATTCTTTTTTCTCGGTTTAGTTTCGCCAATTTAGAATTCTTTGTGCTGTTTTCTATTTTATCTAATCCTCAGACGATGAATAACTCAAATGCAACTCGAATTTTGCTATGATCGGCTTGTTTTCCCAGAATCCGAGTTAACGGGGGAATTTCTGCCGTGGCAATAGTCCAGCGATCATATAAAGTGTGGGAGGTTTTATATGTTTTGAGTGTTTTTTGAAAAAGGTTGGGTTGGACATGACGTTTTGACAGAAACAAAAATATATTTAGTCGTTATTTGATTGTCCAGTATTCAAAAGAAAGATTGTGTATTGAATATTGTGAAGATAACATTTTTTTTTCTTTTGCTTAATTCAGTCGATTTTCTGAATTCTTTTTTTTTTTTCAATTTCGTTGTAATCTGAAGTAATTTTTTTTATCTTAATTAATTGCTTTTAAACTTTCGCACTTGATATGTCAGCCAAGTAAAGTTGAATTTCATGGGTAGATTTGACAGAGTCGTCTGATTTGAATCGGTGCTCGCGTATAAAATTTTTGGGTGTATGATGCGCTTATATAGGAATGATCACAGTTATCGATTTGTTGGAGTTATCCCCGTGTTCCATCTGGGTTCTGGATGTATGGGATGAACTAATAAGTCAAAGTTTCGAGTCCTGTGCAGTGGTGAATTCAAAAACATTGGCCATGATAATGGAAGTTCTATTCTATATAATAATTTCCCATTTTTTACTTGTTTTTCATCTGATGTTGCCCGGGATCTAATTATCGACGTTTTACAAAATATTAACCTTTTATTTCCTACTGCAGCTGATTGCCCTGTTCTCATAAATGGGCACTGTTTGAAGTTACGAAATGGATTTGCCTGTGATATGCAAAATGTAATGCTTTGTCAACTGGAGTTTTGAGAATCGCAACATGTTGACAGACTTCTTGCTGCTTCTGAATCCCTTCTACAGTGAAAAGTGGATTGTTCATGATATTAAATCCTTCGTGCTGCCTTTTGATGCCCCCTCATTTCTACAAACTAATTGCCAACACTGTGTTAACAGTGTAGACATCCTTCCATGGAGTTTGTTTCTGTCCTTTTGAAGACTTATTGTTTATAGTGTCGCCACTCTGAAAATGGAAAGGTAAGTTGATTTTTCTTTTGACTTTTGTATGTTTATTGGAGCCTCATTTTTGCTAGCAGATTAATATTTATGTGCTGTTCCTTTCTAGATATAAAATTTTGAGAGATCTCGGAGATGGTTCTTGCGGTCATGTATATAAGGCTCGTGATTTGAGGACACACGAGATTGTAAGCAGCTTGGGCAAAAAAGCAATTCTTTCTTGATACGTTCATTTACTATTCTTGTTTTAAATCATCCTTCGTTATGTTGTAAACATTTTTGTCACCTTATTGTTGCCCCTGTTAATAAAATATCATGACTTTATATCAAGTACATGCAATAGTCTGTTCAAAACTTAAAAGTGAGATGTATAATTGGCTTTCTGTGGGTGAATTGCTCAGAGACAGTGTAACTTCATATACAGTGAGCAATGAAGGTCAACATGGATATTGTGTTTTACTTTCTTGTTATCCCCACTCCCCTCTCTTGAAAAATATATTGGTGTCAAGCTGATAGCTGATATTTAGATTGTGCGTTATATAGACAGACGGCTTTAAAATCATTAGTGCTTTCAGATTTTGCATTTTGTAATATCCTTTGATGCCATTCTCCTGGTTTCTATGGGCAAGGTTGCTGTCAAAAAGTTGAAAAGAAAGTTCTATTTCTGGGAAGAATTTACAAATTTGCGAGAAGTCAAGGTATATGATACACTAAATTTTAGTTGTTACAAGGGTGATTACTAGATTCCATATTTAGCTGTTATTATTTTTATTTCTCTACTCATGTGTATAGCATTCCTTTTGCAGGCCCTTCAAAAAATGAATCACCCAAATATCATAAAGTTGAAAGAGGTTATCAGGGAAAATAACGAACTGTTTTTCATATTCGAATACATGGTGAGGGAGCTTATATTCTTCATTTTCATTTTTTTTATTTTCTTTTGTAATTTTATGTGCATAAAATATGAATTAAATATTCAATGATTTTTATAAATCTTGATTACTGAAATATCACATTAAAGAATTATTTATCATATTTTGACTGAGTCAAATTTTGATAATGGAAGGATATATGTATAGAAGAGGCAGGTTGAAACTTAGGAGGAAATGAATATTTTCCAAATTAGTAAAACTTCAGGCTTCAATTTCTGATGTGCATCTATCAGCGAAGCCTGTCCTAACTGCCTGCAAGCAGAATGTTTGATGATGATGCTCTGCTCTTTGTCAGTTAATGCAGGGGTGTTATATTGGTCCTATTATTACAGCTTAATACTACATATACTGGAAGATTATGAATTGTCATGTAATTTTATTGATTCATGACCGAATGATCCTTCAAGCACTAAGACCAGATAAAACAAAGATTTTCACTTCTCGTTGCTTCAGGCAATCCCCCTTGCCCTTGAGTGATGTGTTCTTAAGCCCCTAGTCTAGTGCTTCACTGAGAGGCTTGTTTATGATGAAGGTGCTTGGACAAACTTATCAAGGGATATCTGATTTTTATATTTCTAGCAACTCTGACAGTTTTCTAGTTATTAATCAAACAGTTGTTTACTGGAAAAGGGACGAATGGTTTATTTTTAAGGACAGTAAAGTAGAAGTTATTGAATCAAACTTAATTGAAGTTTAATGATAAATAATTTGATGGAAAAAAGGGAAATTATAGGGCCAATTAACATTTATAAAGTGGAAAGAAGCAAAATTTTATTGAACAAATCAATTGAGAAACTAGTCAGATCAAGGGATACTCCCTCCATTTCAAATATAAGGCTATTTTTTTACCCAAATATATATATATATAAGGCTATTTTGGAAAATCCCATGTTTCAGTATATAAGGCATTTCATGTTTTTTAAGGAGCAACTTATGTACTTTTTGCTAAAATTCCCATGTGAAAATATTAAAATTACTTTTAGAAAAATTCCCCAAAAACAATTGTTAATTATTAGTATTAAATGAGGGTAAAATTGAAAAAAAAAAAAAGATTTTGACTGCTTAACTGTAAGTCTTGATTGGTGTGTTTTATTTTAAAACACATAATATTTGAAATGGAGGGAGTAATAAATGTCTAAGGACATTAAAAATTAAAAAGTAAATCAATAAATCTAAAATATTTTCTAAGTACTGTATGAAATTCATGATTTGAGTGCCTAAATTATGTGATTATATGTTAGAAATAGTTATTCGTTGCACACTTTGCTTACCTTGCTTGGTTGCTCTCTCCCTCTCTCCCCTGTTTATTTTTTCTTTCACCCCAAAGTTCAAGAACCTACTGTTTTCTTTTTGGACCAGAGGACCTGCAAGCACCTTGAGTGCCTATTTTTGATTTATTGCAAGCTTTTGACACTGAGTTTCTCTTCAGGATTATAATCTTTATCAATTAATAAAAGACAGACAAAAGCCCTTTCCAGAGGAAGAGATACGTTCCTTTATGAAGCAAGTGCTGCGAGGTCTTAGTCACATGCACAAGAAAGGATTCTTTCACCGGGACTTGAAACCGGGTAAGTTGTATTGCACCACAGCAAATTTTTGTTGGTACCATATTGCTATATTTTCTTGTCCAATCTTCTTGAAACTCTCAAATAAGTCATGTTCTCATAGTAGTTATTTTATTTATAAAGAGAATTTGCTGGTGACAAATGATGTTCTTAAAATTGCTGATTTTGGACTGGCTAGAGAAGTATCATCAATGCCTCCTTATACTCAATATGTTTCCACACGGTGGTAAGTCATATTCTATCATGCCCTCTTTTCTGGTCTTTCTTTTGCCACAAGTGTGAATAAACATTCTCTCCGTAATGGTTTTTGATGTAAAGCCGACATTCTATATGAACTGTGTATCAGTGCATATGCTTCAAGGAGTTATTTTCTCATTATCATCTTTTCATATTCTGCTTGTGTATGTAGGTATCGAGCTCCAGAAGTTTTGTTACAGTCTCCATGTTATACTCCTGCTGTTGGTAAGCATTAATTTTCAGTCTGCTTCAGAATTTTCTTATTTATTTCACACAATAAACTGTTTTGTTTTTCTTATAAATGTGGCTTAGTAGTATCTTTGGGATAGCTTTTGGGCTCCTCCAAATTCTGGAGCAAGGAGTTATGATTTGTAGTTATTAGTCTCAATTTGATTATGACAGACTTCACTTTTCAGGTCTCCTGAAAGCATAGATGGGGATGAGTGGTTAAACCTAACCATGCACCCTTATCTAAAATTTCAGATTTGACTGGATGATTCTCCCACCAATACCATTTACCCTTTTTTTCCCACTGTCCAAACTCCAAAGAAGTTTGAGTGGTGGTCAAACTTGTGAGTTGGAGCTGGAATGTTTGGTTAAGATTCTCTTTTTGCGTTTGGTCCCCAAAAAAAATCTCTTTTTGAATGTCCAGGTACTCTAGAGTTTTTAGGGTCCAGTGATCTTCATTTGAAGAGTGAAATATGTTGAGTTCAGTTGCTGTTGAGGTGAAGGCTAATGTTTTAACTTTGATAAATGTAACAAACGTAACGTGCTGGATTTCTTAATTTGAATGTTCGGAAAGGTGCCTGCTGCATACTGTTAGATTAAACTGAAAGTTTTAATACTCATATGGCTGGAAAAGTGAGTCATCCAAGGAGCTGAAAATTTAGGAGCAACTAAGAGGAAGTTCTTTTTCTCTTTTACTGCTGAGGGTTTCTCATAAGTACTGCTCCTCCATGTGAATTAGCTGTGCTTTCGATGTCTTTGACTGAGTGAGAACATACCGTAGTAACCATGCACAAAATACTCCCTGTATATCTGTGTGAACTTCTCAAGTATAATGTCTTCTCTAGCTGCACGTGCATAATCAGTAAAAATTTGAAAAATAAATGTAGATGAATGATGCATCTCTTAATTCTTTGTATTAATTTATGATTTTTGAAGTCAATCCGTCATTTTGTGTAACTATATCTTTATGTGTATCCATGCATAATACATTAATGTGCCACATTTGGAAGTGATTATTTTGATAAGTGCAAGTGCAAGCTTGTTTGGAATTTATTTCTATTACTCGAGGACACTTGAAGTGGTGAATACTATTTTTTTCAGACATGTGGGCAGCTGGCGCTATATTAGCTGAGCTTTTCACGTTGAACCCCATATTCCCGGGTGAAAGGTACCTGCACTGCCAGTTTTTATGCCTTTTAGTTGTGTGTAGAAAATGTGAAAGTGAGAGTGACCATCTATTTGCATTTTTATTAATTACAGTGTCATCTTTTGTGCTTTTATCTCTACTTTGGTAATTTGTTTATTCTTTCTGTTAAAAGATTTCTTGCTATGTTTAAGGATGCTAATAAGATTGGGGAAGGTTTAAATTTAGCTATTGAAGCTTGTAATTCTGACACTGTTTTGGAGGAAGGTCAATGTTGTTCTTGGTATAAATATTGAGGAACTTCAGTGTAACAACTAACAAGATCTTGTGTTCTTTCGTGTATCTTGTGGTAATGTGGATTATGTGGTCGGGGCTTAACATTGAAATTTTTAAGGTTGAGGTTTTTGATAATTATTTCATTGACAATATTGCTTTCAAGGCTTCATTATATTTTTAGGTGTTTCCACAGTTAGATTTAGTAAAACTATTATTATTAATTTTTAAATAAAAGAAAAAAATTAGTTAACTGCTTGACTTAAAGTTCCCACACAATAAAAGTAAAAACTTTTTCCCTTTGAGTTATTCTCGCCCAAAGAAGTGAAATATGAAGTTAAGATGGATATTTAGACTAGAAGTGTTCTTGCAATAATGAACTAGTAAGTTCCTGTCTCATCTTATGAAATCCTTTTCTCTTTGGGTAGTGAAATAGATCAACTATTCAAGATTTATTGTGTTCTTGGTACACCGGATTTGACTTCTTTCCCTGTGGGAGCAAACAACTTGAGGCTATTAGACGTTGTTGGTCATGAAGTGGTAAGTGTTTCTATGACATGCCTGATTTTGTATCCCTTTTTTATTCCCTTCATATTAATTCCTGTTCATCATTATCTTCAATTTCCTGATGCTTTTGGATAGGTTCCACCTTCGAAGCTTTCTGATATAATTCCTAATGCTAGCTCAGAAGCTGTAGACTTGATCACGGTAGGCTTTGGTCAATTTATCTGTCTATTGACTGTCATTGTCAAAATGTGTTAATCACCAAAAAAAACTTGCACAAATTTTCTCATAATTGGCTCTGTAAATGGTGCTATCTTTTAATATCTGCTGCATTGTAACTTCTGTAGCAACTATTATCATGGGACCCATCAAGAAGGCCAGATGCAGATCATGCACTGCAACATCCTTTTTTCCATGTAATTTGTGCTCCCAGCTTTCAAATTCTCATTTTCTTATTTTACCTTTTGGGTTCAATTTTTTATTTACGTTGGACAGGTGAGTACATGGGTTCCGTGTCCAATTCACGATCCACTTGAACTGAAGCTGAGTAGCAAGAGTAAGAGCATTTGCGCTGTTCTACTTCATAACCCCTTCTCTTAATGTTTAAATCCTTTTTGGTTAGTAAGATCTCTATTGTGTTAAAGCTTCTGGCACTATCATTTATTGCTTTCCTCCTGCTCTACTTCACAGGGGCAAAACCAAATCTTGAGCTTAAGTTGCAGGATTTTGGCCCTGACCCCGATGACTGTTTTCTTGGCTTAACTTTAGCTGTAAAGCCCAGCATTTCAAACTTGGGTAAACACTTCTTCAACTCTTAAGTTAAATCAGTTGACATATGTGATTGTTCTTTGATTACCCAGTTCCCTAAACTAGTTTGTTGTTGCTTGTTTGTGTGGCAGATTACTTGGTACAGTTTCCTAGTTTTCCTTATTAAACAATCCAATCCATTTGTAACAAATTGTGTTAGCTGCTTGTTCCCTCTATAATTGTGCATTTGTGAATTAGGTTCAGATTGTATCTTTGTATTTAAAGTGTATGTTGAAAACGAACAAGTGAAGCTAGTTTTATCAAACATGGAAAGCAGGTTAATTAACTGTGAGTTTGTTTTAGTATTTTATTTATAATTTTAGAAACATTCTAGAAGTCCAACCATGTTGTAAACTGCGGTTAATTTGTATGCTGTGTTTTTTCTTCCTTTTCTTTTCTCGATTCCTTTATTAGATTTGGAAACAGAAGAGCATAGAAGCGAAATATCAGGATAAATGAAATCAATGCCTATCTTTGAATTTTATGTCCGAAGAAAAATGGTTTATGTTCTTGTTCTTATTTATAAGAAGATTCTGTAACTGGATTGGTCTTGATTATAAATACATAAAGAGACGTTTCTTGATTGCACGACTATGTTCTTAAAAATGTGTCAATTTAAGAGAATCTTGCAAGCTCTACCCAACATCTATTAATTTACGGTGTCAACAGTGACTCCGTTTGGTATGTTGAATCAATGTTCTGGATGAAGTTTCCTGTACTTCAAATTTTTTGGGGTTCTCCTATGTAATTATTCACTCCATGCGTATATTTAAATTGTCTTAGAATCTTCACACATAAAACTTTTTCCCTTTATTGATTCTAAAATTGGACAAGCCTGACCATCTAATTATTTACTCTCCTGCAGATGTGACCCGCAATGTATCGCAAGGCATGGGAGAGGTAGGTTCCCAGTGCTGTGAATGTTGCGTCACGTTTAATTCTTTTTCTATTTATTGAAATCCTGATGTGAAAAGAAAAAATATATCTATATTTTGACTAAACACGTTAAAAATGCAGAATGTGCTGTTCTGTTCCGAGTTCAGTAATCATTCAGACCAATCAGGTATTTTTTCCCTAATTTTATTTGTAACGATAATCTAGCCTGACCAAAAGTCAGGTATGTTTGCAGGGGAGAGATAACTTCTGATTTTAGACTTATAAGACCAAATTAATCTGGAAAAAATCTTTAAGAAAACATTCTTATGCCTCTGTTTTTCCTAAGAAAGGAACTGTATTTATTATATGAGGAATAGAACTAGAAGAAATCCTTCAAATCATATCTTGAACAAACTGAAACAGGTAATACACAATGTCGAAACTTAACGAGCTGAATGGTGAACGCCATAATGATGCCAAAGACAATTTATCCCACTGAAGTACACCCCCACTAACAGTAAATTCCAGTGTATTCTGAAAATAGGAATTTTCTAAGATCCAAATAGAAGCTGTTTGGCACCTATGTACTGGGTTCATATATAAATATATGACATTATATAATCTGAATTGATTAAAATAGTAATATAATTGTGATATTATTTTGGGAAAGTAAATCATTTAATTCCTATTGTTTTAATTCGATTAAAATTCAGTCTCTAAACTTTAACTTGACGCAATTCGATTTTGATAGTTTTAACCATTTAAAATATTGGTTCTTGTATTTTAGAAAATAAAACTTTAAGTTATTTTTTGAAACTTAGGGACTAATGTTTAAAATTGTTAAAATTATAGAGACTGAAATATGATGAGTTAAAGTTTAAAGACTGAGTTTTAGCTTAATCAAAAACTATAGGAATTGAGTTTAGAGATTGAGTTATAATTGAGTCGAAATTATAAAACTAAATAATTAATTTTTCCTAGTATTTTACATATTCAATGAGGTCTGGTATATGAAATTGTTAGAATCAGTTTTTTCCCAAATGCCAGAGCTGAAGCAGCCTGACCTACAAGGCAATTCGACATTCATCAATTGCTAAGTTTCCTAAAATGTTTCTTCATAATGTGCTTCTGAGAGCAGTGGAAATGCTTTTCCCAACGCTTGTTCGTATGAAATGAGGGTAAATGGTTTCTGAATGATGATTACATACTAAAATTTTTAACTATTGGCTGCTGGTAATCAACTCAAATTCAAGTGACAAAATGCTAAATTTTAGTGGAACATTTTGGGTCCTAGTAGATAAAATTAATTATTAATTATTACTTCAAATTTCTTCCTTTTAAGATTTTTCCCCTTGTATATACCTGTCTTGATAATATTGAGGTATGGTTATTGTTCACTCTAGTTTTTTGGACATTTTTGTCTCCGGATCAAAATGGAGTCCACTCCTCGGCAGAGACTTCGTTGTCATTGTCATTTGGGTGAGTTCTTTTCTGTTTTTCCTGCTCATATATATGATATTATAATCTCGGACTTAGTGCCTGTTTCAACTTCAGGATCATAATGAATCTGCTTTAAGGTATAGATGTTTGTGATAAAACTTGCATTTTTTTAAGCCATAGGCCATACAGTAAGTTGTAATTTCCAGCTGTTAACTGCTGTAGGATAAAAATGATTAGATCATGTTTGAACAAGATGAAATCATAAATCATGTAAAATTATTATATGGTCAAGAACTCAATTTTTTAACAAAATAAACCATGAAGCACCTGTACAAGAACAACAAAAAGGACGTAAATTTCAAACTCGGCAGTTATCATGAAATGCCAAACTTTGTTGAGATTCTAATAGCAAACATATAAAGAATTGCATTTAAGTCTAATTTCTTGACATATTGCTGAAAAATATGCCATTGTATACGCCCTTTAATATAATCTGTTTGAATCAGTATGTGTTTTCAAACAAAGCATGGATTCATCGGACTTGTTTGATTTTGTTCTGTGTTTTTATATTCTTAAAATAATTATGTAGAGTAATTTTTTAGAATAAGTTTTGGAAACAAAGAATGAAAATCATTATTCTGGAAAATATATGGTGAAATAAAGGGTGAAAGAATTATTTATTTTATCTGTATAATTGTTATTAATTTTCTCTAGTTTTGCAGGACGAAGAATAATAAAATATATTTAAATAATAATTGTCATTATTCTGGTTTTTTAGTTCTCAGAACAACTCTTTTTCAGAGCAGATAACAAAAAACATAAATTTAAACAGGTCTTTTTTTTTAAAAAAAAGAAAGTATTCTGAAAAGTGGTAATCAAATCCACCTACTATCTCTCTTTCCTTCCCTTTATTTCCATGACTTTTCCTCTTTGACAGTTCAATTCAGCACCAACCAATTGGAGTTCCGCAGTCAACAGGATTCTCCTTCCAGCCTTTGCAGCCTAACATTTTAACTCCACCATTTTTGGCTGTGTCTTCTCCTTTCCACAGTGGGCACTGCCTTTAGATGATGATTGATTGAGCAAACAAGTATGATCTTAAATGTTTATGATGTACCTAAAAGCTTTTCTTTTTCTGTTCACGTACATACATTTCTATCTGACATTGGTATAGTTTCTCACTATCATGAAACAGAATGTAATTATTGAACAGCTTATCAGGCCCATTCAACTCCATTTCTTAGCTGTGATTCTGAACTCTGACCTGAAATTTTCAGTTCCAAATATAGAATATGAAATGTCAAGGTCAGCTTTTCCTTTCTTGCGTTAGCATCTCTTTGCTTGACTTTTTAAGGATGTTACTGCTAGACTTATCATTTAGCCACAGTTGGTAACCACTGCCCCCTCCCCTCAATTCCTTATTACAAAAACATATTAACTTTACACAATAAAAAAAAACAATTAAAATTGGTTAATTCTTTTGAAATTTTAGAATTATTTAAAAAAAATTTATATCTTAGATAAGGGATCTTAATATAAGGACCACATGGAAGAGTCTTGCAGTAAAATAAGAGTGCTTTCTCTAAACTACAATGTAAAGTATTGATAGTTATCATGTTAGACCTTGGTTGATCTTATCATCACATCCCAATTATAAACTTCTAAAGCCTATCTGAATCCTGTGTCTGTTCGCTACGTGGGGCTCATATGAGTTACTTGTAATTACTATTAGTAACCAGGATAATAATTGCTGTTAAAGTTTTCTGAAAGGATCGGTTAAAGAAGTTTCAGAAAGGATATTTCCTTTTCAGGGGGGAAAAAAACTCAACTTCTTTCCAAATTCTTGTGGGGTCGAGTGATTTTTTTCTTTTTTCGTGAAGTATGTTTCGTGTTCGTTAATTTCGAGTGAATCTCTTCTACAGGGGAAAGAGCCACGTGATCGTGATGAGTGTGAGTTTTATTGGTTTTACCCCGGACTATATTACTCATTTACTCTCTCGTACCTGATTTATATGGGGATTTATTCAAACCCAGAAAAATTTAGATTTGTTGAATTTTAATAATTATTTTTTTCCTTGTACTCCCGCCATCCTAAAATATAATACACCAGTTGCTAAAGAAATTAGGAACAGAGGGAATTTCATGATTAAAAAAAATCCAGTATGTCTTATAATTAATGTTATTTAAAACTATTAAATATTGTAGTAAAATTAATCCTATATTCATATCCTTACCAAGTCAGTATCACTTTTCGAAGGCATAAGTGGAAGTGAATCATCCACAACACAAGGAAGTGGCAGCATTAGTCTAAAAGCCAAGTTTAAAAAAGTCCAACCAAATTGAGTGGCTAATAATAGAATAGCATAATCTTGCCACTGTAGCTTGAAAGCCAAGTTAGTTATTATGCTAAAAACAATGGGCATAAAACGACATCGCATTTCTGCCAAGAAGGTTTGACAAATATAATTGACCCAACAATCTCGTTGACTCTTTAAACTCTCGACATATGATTATTTACACAGAATAAAAATATTATAGGAATTTAATTACTGTCGTTTAAATACAATTGTAAGTAATATTTTGGTCACTCTTTTTTATTTGACGCTCGTCACTCTTTAAAAACTTCTTGGTTTTTTTTTTAATTTTAATGAAATTTGATAACAACTTTAATTTCTGAAACTAAAATCTATATCCTTAAATATTTTATGGAGACAAAAAATTATTCACAATGTACTATATAATTTTGGTTGAAGCTCCATTATTTCCTTTTCTTTAGTATGTGAGTTGGCTGCTGCGCACATGGAGTGTTTATATATAAGTAAAAATTGTCTTATTTGCGGTCCCAACTTCTTTTGGTTTCTCCTCTTCGATCTAATCCATAGTTTAAACCCATGTCAATCAAATATCTCATTTGATTATCTTCTTCAATTTTTATTTGATTAATAATTATTTAGTGTATGTTGAGCTTCGAAAATGTCAGCTGGAGGAAAAAATTGGAATAATAGAGGTGAAGATAATGAAATGAATATGATCACATATTGACATATATCGATAATTGTACAAAAAAAAAAAACTTGGCATGATATCTATTGAGAAAAAAATAGTTGAAAAATATTTAACATGCTTCACAGAAATTGAGTTTAGCTATATGAAGAGATGTAAAATAGGGACAAAAAAAAAACTTAGAAGATATAACTCATGTGTTGATAGAGAATAATAACATTGTACGGTTAATATAGCCAATTAAATCTCAATTGATTAAATAACATTTACCTCTGTTGTATGTTGTGATAATAGTCACCTGAATCATTAATCATGATTAACATGTTCCCATTCTAATTTAAGGAGAGAAAATCCTCTAAAATTGATATAGTAAATTTATGTAAAATTTTCTTTTTCTTTATTTTCTATATTTTTCCCCATTTTATTACTTTTTTTATAAAATATAAAATTCTGTCTCTCTTTTAAAAAGATAAACTTCATGAAATTTACAGATTCTCAATAGTCAATTCCCAACTTTTAGAGTATGATTTTCTTTTACATTTACCTTTTTTTAAATTTTCGTACCTAAAATTTGTAACAATTTGCAAAATATACCATGTAAAAGTACAAGGTAAGGAATTTAATTACTAATAGATCCTCTTTACATGTCATGTGAACATGTGGTATTTACATGTTATCCCAAATATTTTATTACGCATAAGATCTAATGATAATTAAATTCCTAATTACCAGCCGGGATTCCTAAGTGATTTTGCCTAAGAAAATAATTGATTCAACGATCATAAAAACCCAAACAATTGGGAAAGGAAAAAACTGCGAAAATGTTTAAGATTAATTGAGAAGAAAAATAATAGTACATGTAACTAATACCTAATTTACATATGGATCTATTCAATAAATAATATGCCAAAAAAAAAAAAAGGTCAAGCAGCAGCATTCTCCATCACATACCCTACAGCTTCCTTGTAGTTATTCCACAACTCTGCAACCATATTCGTTACCATGTCTGAGATTTCCCCAGACATGTCTGCAATATAGTTCACTGATTCTTCTAATGATGTCTTCATTTTCTCCGAAACTGTCCCCATAACTTCTCCAAACACGTCCACTGATCCTGTCACTGCTTCCTTCATATATCAAACACTCTGCTCACCATGAAGTTCACTGATTCCACAACCAGGCTCATCAGAAACTCGAAACTTCCCTTGATCGCATCCGCCACCTGCTGGAACCCGCCATGAGCCGCCTCGCCGGGAAGCTTCAGACCTTGGATCAACAAGACCACCAGGTAAGCTAGGGATGAGAAGATCAGACGAGTTAGGATGCTCCATAGGGTTAGGACACTGAACGTGATTAATCTCAGAAGAAGGATTAACATTACTGAAGAGTTTAAGATATTGAAGGAAGGAAGGAGACTTGGAGAAGAAGGCAAAGAAAGAGACTGTTTATATAATCAGATCAAAGTGAATATGTATAGATATGTATGAGTCTTACATGAGACTTTGAAGGATTCAAAAGTCAGATAGTGTGATGCTGTTTATATTAATGAGGAAGTAGGTAAACCCTAGAAGGTGATTGGATAGAGAAGCTTCCTGTGGGATGAAGCTGATGAATTCATTGGTTCGTTGTTGCTTTGCTTAAATAACTCACATCTTCTCAGAAACTTGCAAGGTTTAAAAATCGAATTATGTGTTTTCAACTGCCTGGTCAATTAAGTAATCTCAACCATAATAAAAATTGTCATTTGCTTCTCTCTCTATATATATACACATTATTCAAAATAATTTATATTTTTAGGACAGAGTGATAATTAAGTCTTAAAAGAGAATTAATTATAATTAGGTTCCTGAAAAAATTTTCTGAAAAATAAATTATAAATATTAATTTAAAAAAGAATCTAAATTGTAAATTGAGTTACATTTAGTATTAAAATATTTTACTTGCAATTGGAATTTGAAAATTTTGAATTTGTATTTATTTAAATTGATATTTGTAATTTTAATTTCAGAAAATTTAATTAGACCAAATTGTCATTAATATCTCTTTTTTATATTTAACTGCAATTCTATTTTTTTTAGATATTTTAATTTTTATATATTACAGTCTTGTCTGTAAATTAATTAAAGATTGTCCACTTTTTTTTTAAAATAAACCATCAATGGCCAACATTATTAATATCCATATGTAAGCTTTCTCAATATTGTTTTAGTATATTATTATTATTTTGGTATAATTTTTAGTATATTATTATTATTATTATAACAACAAACAAGTTATGATAAAAAATAATTGAAAGGACTAATTTATTATAATTTGTGAGAAGATTCGAATAGAAACAAAAAAAAAAAAAAAGAGCCAAAGCTGTAAACGTACCCAAAATGGGGAGCCATCCTCCAAAATAATAAAAAACTATGGAACACGGAAATATTTTCCCACGGAAAAATAATACATTAGATATATTAACGTACACACATACTGTATTATAAACGTTTTCTGTGGTCTTACAATTATGATGTCTTAATAAGAAAACTGTTGAGATGTGCAAATTGAGAATAAACAAAACTTTTATGCTTTTGAAACAAATGTAAAAATATACTTTCTCATGTCTTTTTTATAAGAAAATTTTTTGGAGTGCTCTTGATTTTATTTATGAAAGGTTAAAATGTATAAACCCTCTCTAAACTTTAAAAAAATTGCATATAACCCCCTCATCTTCAAAAGTTTAAAATTAAACCCCCCAATATTTAATTTTGCTTTTCCAAGCCTCTACTATTAATTATATTATTTTTATGTCATTTAATTAAAGAATGTTATTAAATAAAATATTATATTATAAAACTATGGCTAATCAATTACTTATGTCCTTTGGATAGTTTGATGCATTGATAGCCAAAAAGAAATATTATTATCATTATATAAAAATTTAAGTATTTATATTTATATTAGCATTTATTTTTTTTATTATCAATGGTTCATAGTTTTATTGTTTGATAACAAAAAATGGATAAAAGTAACACAAAAATGAATATTTCAAATTTTATACGATGATAATAACATTTTTTTGACTATCAATGTCTCAACTATTCAAAAAATATGATAAATTGATTATAAATAATTTTACAATATAATATTTTTGTGTTTATAAATTTTTTTAGTTAAATAACATTTTAACCCTTATGAAAAAAAATGTAATTAATAGTAAAGGTTTTGAAAAAGTAAAATTAAAAGTTAAGGGGATCAATTTTAAACTTTTAAAGGTGAGGAGGTTATAAATAACTACCTCAAAGTTTAGAAAAATTTCATACATTTTAGCCTTTGTAAAAAACAACAACCTCTTGTTTGGGGAATTTATTAAATTTTTTATACTCTTGTTTTAAATGGATATTTATTAATGAGATCAATTGTTAAAAGTCACTAGCTAATTATTAAAGAAGGGAATTTTAGAAAAAGAAATTTGCATATGTAACATATTTATTAATCTGTTTGCAAAAAAAAATTTATTTTTAATATAATATTCTCTTTCAACTTTTAAAAATAATACAATATGATCACTATTATTTACAAAAGTTAACTTTAATCATTAGTTAATATATGAAAATTATGGAAAAAGATCCAAAAATTTTATGGGCCCATTTTTGTAATTTCCTTGTCCTTTTGTGTAATTTTAGATCATTTTTTATAATTTTTTAATTTTTGTATAATTTTTTGTTTAAATAATGATCAAAGTTAATTTTTATTAAAGGCAAGGACAAATTTATACTATTAAAGGAAAACATTATATCAAAAATAAATTTAGGATTTCATATGTTTCTAAACTTATAATTTAAAGATGAAATGTTAACACTTAAAAAAGAGGAAGTGATTAAATTATGCATAACCTATAGAATGCATGATGTGCAAAAATTTTAATTTGTGTTCATTTAATCAGAAAAAAGTTAAGAATAAAAATTTAATTATTTTTTGGTCAAGGAAAGGAGGTGTGGCATCAAACTCCCTTTTAGCTAATTTGAACTTGTTTGGCAATTTATTTTAAAGACAGTTTTTTATTCTTCATAATAAAAAATAAAAAAATTAATTTGATAACGTTTTTAAAAAGTGTTTTAAAAAAATAAAATATTATTTTAAAGAATAGAAAGACAGAAACATTTTTTAAGTATTTTAAGATTATTGTTTTAGAAAATAAAAAATAAAAAAAACATATAATTTCATTATTTTTTTATGACCTCCTTTCACCACGGCTATAGTGATGGTGGTAGAGATTTGATAACCAAAACTCCAATGGTGGCACTGTCTGGTTGCCAGCAGCAGGTCTCCTGTGATGGTAACTAAAATATTTTTAAAAATAAATAAAGAGTTTTTCAACAATTTACTATCAAAATTCAAAACATAATTTTTATTTAGTCCCTTGGTCTCAAAAAAAAAATTCAAAATCTGTTAGATGTGTTTTAAAATAAGTCACATTCATGGTCTTTTATTGAAATTCTCACAAAATTCTAAATTATATATACCTTCTAGAGGGTTTAGTACGTTCATTTATTAAATAATTTTTTTGATTATCCTTTAAATAAATTTAAATGCAAGACTTCATACAGAATACCCGCAACATGGCCTAAAAGGACAAAAAGACCAAGAAATGAAAATTAATCCTATGGTCAGTATTGTTTTGGCCAACAATCCTATGGTCATTTTCAAACACTGAAAGCATAAATTTCATTTACATTAAAGAAATAAAAAACAATTTTAAAATCATTGTTTAACTTTAGAGTTTATAGTTATACCATTATTTCACTCGGGAGAAAATGACAAATAAGTTTTATTTAATTAGCGTTATATGAAATTCCTTTCTTTTTTGACTACTGAATTGCCTTATCACTTACACTGTTCTAAGACATTGTGGGTCCAAGATTACTACGGGTTGCGTTTGCATGTATATTTTAATCTAAATGGTTATTATACATTTTTATTTTTATTTTTATTAAAATAAATATTTATAAAAATTTAAAAATAATTTTAATAAATTTTTTATTTTTAATATGATATAGATTTAAGTTAAAGAGTTCAATTTAACATTAAAATTTTTATAATTAGTATATATTAATTATTCGGATGTACTGTGCACATTTCAAATTTAATTTAGTATTAATTTGGCTTGTGCAGAATACATCTGAATAGTCAATATATATCAATTATAAAAATTTTAATATTAAATTGAACCCTCTAAATTAAATCTGGACCATATTAAAAATAAAAAATTATTAAAATTATTTTAAAATTTTATATATTTTTATTTTAATAAATATAATATATAACAATGTTTTAAATCTAATCATCCAGATCAAAATCTAAATGATTTAGATTTTATCACAGTGATAAGCACATATCCAAACCCATTTCGATTGCCAGAATCAACCGTTTCTTAGTGTATTCTCTCCATAACAACAATAGCCACAACTTTGTTATACACAAACACCAGAGAAAAATATTTAAAAAAATTAGAAGAAAAAATTTAAAAAAAAATATTAAAATTATTATTTTAAAAAATTTCTTCTCCTCTTCCTTATTTTCTTCTTACTTTTTGCTCATGTCTCTAAATGTGTTATATATTATATTAAGGGAGCATATGATTCATATGAACAAGCAATGTCTGATTGACATTATAAGACAAAGTCATTTTAAGTCTTTCATATTTCAAAATATCAACAAGGTTTTATAAAAAAAAAATGTTTGTAATTAAGAATGTAATTAATAAGGTTTTCTAATTGAAACATAAATAAAGTAATCATGAAATGAATATGTAGTTTTAAATATTATTAATTAATTCATTGAGAATGTAAATTAGTTAAAAATATTTTGTTTATATAAAATAAAATAAATTTATTGATATTTAAAATATTTTTAATAAACCCTATAACTTAATGTCTTTCTTGTCAGAAATTCTATTTATTAAATTTTTCTAATGACAAAGAGGCCTGGTTCAGCGTCGAAGACCCGCCATGCACCGCACAGCATTAAGCCGTTAGGTGGGTCCATTTTTTCATCAGAATATTCAATTAAGTCCATTTATTTTAATTTAAATAAAATAAAATAAAATAAAATAAAATATATGTTAAAGACAGAGACTGAGCTCGTCTAATTAACCAATTTTTTATGCATTACATTTTATCAAGACAACCAAACCCATGTTGTCCCATCCCATGTGCCTAACATTTGAGGTCAGATCAGATGTAAATAAAAACTATGAAATAGAGAAATTAATTATTACGGTTAATCTCTAATCAAGAACATTAAAGAATTTAAAAAAAAAAACTCGAGAGAATAATATTTTATTAACCATAAACCAATCATGAAGATGAGAATCTGAACCTTGAGTTCATACTGACAAGTTTCAACAACTCAACTTGCTTCCACGTTATGATGACTTGCATCTGATTAAAGAAGTGTCAAGTATTTAACAACCCAAACGTTTCAAGCACTCATAAGGAAGCAAATTTAAACAAGTATGGACTCATGACGCATATAATTTAACAACATAATTTCACTTCTTTTTTTTTTTTGTTTTAAATATCTGTTATCAGGTCTTCCAACTAAGTTATAACCCTTTTGAAAAAGAGATGAAAATATACAAAATGCTAGCTCATTCTGTTGTTATTCCTTCTATCAAAACATATACATGTAGAGTTGCTTTTAAAAAAAATATATACAGGATAATTTCTCTTATATTTGAAAATGGAATAATATATAAAAAGAACATGTAAAATAATTAGCTATATTACTCAACTAGAATATTGACCTCTGCGTTGTATGAATATATTCTAAATTGCTGGCTTTGCATTGTACAAATCTTTTCTAGGTATTAGTTTGTGTAATTTCATTAACATAAAACTTACTGGCATATCATATTTCTATTATCAATAAACTGAACATTCCAAAACACTAATACAAACAAATAAAGCATATAGTTCAATGAAAAACATGTCCATCAAATCCTATCACTACCCACAACCGACTGGTTTTATACAAAATTATATCATAAATTGATAATTTTGCTTAAGACATCATCATCATCATCATCATTAATTCATTATGCAGAAAGAGGCAAGCAAAACAACAGAATTCTGTCACTATAGTCTATATTATTAAAATTCTGGGCATCAGTGATCATAAATAAAGATCAAGCCTTCAAACTATACATTACTCAGGCTTCTGAAACCTGTACAATAGAAAGATTTCCCAGAAGTTGAAAGCCAAGAACATGCTCTGATGTATATACACAAAGTCATCGCACCAGAACCTAACTAAATCACAATACCTGTGACTTTAATTTATGCTATTTAGTTATCTCTAAGCTTATATACACTGTCAATATAATCTTCTGTCTCCCACAAGAATGACCCAAAAGCAACTGCTTCCAAGACTAGCCTCTTCAGAGTTGAAAATGAAGTCAAAATCACATTGTTGCTCTCAACCAAACCAGATTCCTCATTACCAAAAAGTGCCAAGCTATAACTTTCCACCAAATTCACAGCCTCCTTAGATCTCAGTTTGGCAAATCTCTCCAACAGCCCTGGGTGAAATCCCGTCACATAACATTTCATATCTTTGATTTCCTCTTCCTGCTTCATTACCCCTTGACCTACAGATTGATTGTTACCCATTAGGCCAAAGATTATATCTTTGATTTCATATGCGTGTGGATCGCGAATTGTAAGGGTGGTCCTGTGATCACCATGGTTAGCGACAGATAGGCTCCGTTCTAGGTGGTATCTCAATGAAATCGATTTCAAGAAGTAACCGTATAGTATAGAGGCAACATAAATTCGAGCAAGCAAGAATTCCTGAATCTCAGTTGTTGCCCAGGTCTCAGTCACACTAGATTTTGCTTTCAAACCGGTCATACTTGTCACATGCTCCCTAATCAAATCCAAAATCCCCAGGCTGTAAATGGACTCAAGCTCCCAGTCTTTAGAAGGCAATATCTCTAGCCTGCCATTGTATGTGCATTTAGAAAGCTTTGGAATCAGAGGAACCCTGATCTCTGAAAACTTGTAAAAAATCAGCAAATACATGACATCTTGTACTGCAATTTCACACTCATGCTCTTTCATTTGTGCAATCCTCCTGGCATAGATAAAAATTCAGCTCAAATCCTGCTCAATTCCATATCTGGAAATCAAAAGAATTATGCAAACATCAAGGAATTTAGCAAGCATGGTTAGCTTTCTTTCTTTCTTTCTTTCTTTTTTTTCAAGATGATGAAGACAATGATGCAACAATACCAATACATTTGATCCTGCAGAAAAATGCCCATGCATGGTCCTCTAGTTTATAACAATTTAAACCCAAATCAAGCGACTCAGAAATTTTTAGATGACAACTTGAATGGAAGAAGGGTGCAGGGGCAAAGGTAGTGAAAGTACTTTATGATGCAGCAGAATGAATCATATCAAATGACCAAATGCCTTCATAGTTGTCGTGCGCACGCGCGAAAAAACATTTGGCCTAAAATTATGCCACCCATGCAGAAAAGTCTTTCATTGTTGCAGAATGCAGATGCAAGTGATAGGTATCAGAAATGTTGATTGTTAGAACACAAAAGATTCACGGTTTCAGCTTCAGCATATAAAACTGCCAATCACTTTGCTAATGCCAAGCACGCATGCTAGCTTTGGAATAAACATGTTACATTTCCAAAACAGAGAAGGGCAAACTTGCTACTCTGACAAATTACATGGATTTAGTTTTCTTTTAATAACGTCCATAAGCCATGAAACCTACATATGTATACGATTCAACAAGACAAGATAAAAGTACTTTTTCAATTGTTTGAATCAGATATAAAAAATATAACAGTATACAATGAAGCATGGAATTACAGTCCCAGAGGAACACATTTTTCAGGTAGGTTGAGTCATTTATTCATCAGTGAATCATCAGAACAAAGAGTTTGCAGTAAACTTATCCAAGAATCTCCAAAATTCCTTCAAGGTAAAAGAAACTAAAAGAATTTTGAGCCAGCAATTTTAAGAATCACATTAAGTTGGCCACGCCACACCTTGCCAAATTTGATGTGACAAATCTACTTAATGGAAAGAAAAAAGGGATTTTAGAGATGGAAAATGTCCCATGCATCCCAGTAAAAAGAAGTAATAAAAAGGAACAATTACCATTATGTGATCACAGCATAAGTATTATAATAGATATTTAATATTATTTTTTGGCCAAATAAAAGAAAATGTTTTTCCCTTTAGAGTTACTAAAAGAGCCCACAACTGCAGATGGACCATTAAAGTTTGTTAAAACAAGATTGAAACACAGAATGAATCCTGCCAAGTTCATATAGATTCTAAACCAGTCAAAGTCCATCTGCTGATCAACTCTTCATTGCAAGATGAAAAAAAATATTTATATAGTATATCTTGAATGATCACTAGAATTTTGATTTCCTTTCATGACTATGATTGTTTCAATGATACTAACAATAAATTCATGATATTGTATATCTTCTGCAGGTCAATAAATTAGAGAAAAAAACTGTAGCTTCAATCCTACCTAAAAAGATAAATACCCCTTTTGGCTTTTATTATCCACCAGAATAAAAAATGGACAACTCATGATGCAGGGATCAAATGCTGCCCAACATTATCAATAATTTTCCAGATTGACTTCATATACTTTCATCATAGATGGAACAGAACTCAAGTAAATACATATTTTTTGATGCACGCATAATCTGATTAATATCAAGCTACTGTTATCCCCCAAAAGATAAGCACACAGTTAAAAAAGTAAACTCAATGAAAGTAGCCTTATGAAGAAGTGCATAATGGGTTTATTATAGTTATAAAGTAAATTACTCCATCTTCAAATTGTTGAACTCATTTTTAGTCCCAAAATATAAGAGCGTCTGCAACTTAGTTCTGAACATAACCAACCCGTTGGCCATTAATGGGAATAAAGGCCAGAAGAACTAACATGTAAAGAATTTGTTAGGATCAGTTAGAACAATCTAAATTAAGACGCAAACCTGTGAAGCAAGTCCTCATCGGAACCTGTGGTGAGCGCCATGCGAGCAGCTGCAGCATCTCGATCATCGACCAAAAGCTTGAGCTCCTCCGCCACCGCGACGTGGAACATCTGGCGGTGGTTCTGCAACACACCGCTCAGAAACTTACCCACATGCGATTTCGGCTCTAGCGGCGAGTTCAGGCTACTGAACTCACAGTGACTCGCGCCAGCACTCGCCTTAACGTTGCCGGGCCTCCTCCTAGTGTTGAAACAACAACCCAAACTGGGTTTTCCGGGCAAATTGCAGATGAATCTAGAAATGGGTCTCAGACAAAGGCTATGGGTCAATCGGGGTACAGCCAATGTGGGTGATGGGTGGTAGAGAATATTTTCCATGAAAAGGTTAGTGGAAAGCTTGAAGAGAATCGCAGAGGCAGAGAGAGAAAGAATGGGTTGATTGAACTGAAGAGCAGAAATATCTTTGGCTATGGATAGGGCTTCAGAGATGGGAATTTTGGTGATAGAGTGATAATTGATAAGCGCTTAGACTAGTATTTGGTTGTGACGTTGACGCGCCCACCGTAATAAATAAGAAATACAGAGAGTGGGGTCTCAGAGAAGAAGGCTTTAATGGTGGAGTCTGAAGAAAAAGATGATTTCTTGATCAATCAAGGAGTTCATCTTTGTCCTGACCCGACAAGTGATTTTCAAGATAAGATCAAAGCGCTATCCGCCTAGATATTTTATTATTTCAATTTTAAAGCAATAATTCATTGAACAAAGGTAGCCTATTTAAAGAGTTTGTTGTTTTTACGATTTTGTTTTCAAAAGAAGACTTTAATTTTTTTTTTGGGTAAAGTTCAAAAAGAAGACTTTAGTTAAAACTATCTCTCTCTAACGCCGACGTCAATTTAAAAAAAAAATTATTTGATTTAAAATATAAAATATCAAAAACAATAATTATTTTTTTAATTATATCTTTATTTTATTTATTATTTTAAATTTTAATAAACAAGATGCATTAAAATATTAATTGTCATTAGTAAAATACTTTTTTAAAATATTTAATGTGAATGTAATTAAAAATATATAAAATAAATTTAAGCAATCAATTAGTTTTTCTTCTTTTTTTAACTGTAAATAGAGGTAAAAATATGAGTCTGACTCATATGGGTTGAATTTTAAATAGGTTAAAAAAATTTCAATCCATTCCAAACTTTTAGAATTGATAAGCTAAATAGGTCAACTCACCAACTTATTTTTAAATTTTTTAATATTTTTTTATGAATTTTTTTAAAAAATACACCTAAATAATAAATTTTAATTTAATATTTTTTCATGATTCATTCTAAATATATTAAAATATTAATTTATAATGTTTATACAAAATATATAAATTTATACAACTATAAGTAAATCATGCCATATGATTTAAACCATAAAATTTTCTCCTTTTTTTTTTAATTTTTTTAAAAATAATATGAGTTAAACGAGCTAACCTTAATCCATTAAAATTGACCTATATGGTTCACGAGTTATATGACTTGGGTTAGAAAGAATGTATTTTATATTCAGGTCAATTTTTTTCAACTCAATCCGACCTTTATGATCAATTATTCGAGCCAACCCTTATAACTTGACACATATTCTCGACTCTAATTGTGAACATGGTCTTGAAGGAATATACAATCATAAGATTTTATTTTTGAGTCTTGATAAATATAAAAATGTATTTAAGAGGGAAGAATTATATTTAAGAATCAAGACTATGACTTATTCACAAATCAAATTCAATAAAATTTAAAATTACACCATAAGATCAAAGGACTAAATTGAAATAATTTTTTTAAAAAAATGATCAAAATGCCCATCAACTAAGATTTTAAAAATTGGGCCGGTCATTAAATAAAGTTAGATATTGGTTCATGGTTTATTGATCGAACCGGTTATATTAAATTAATATATTTGTAAAATATTTTTAATTAAATCTCACCCTCTAATAAAGTAATTATTTATCTTTAAACTAACCCTATCTTTTTATATTTACCTTTATTTAATAAAGTCTTTCATCCTAAAAAATATAAAATGATCTATTCAATAAGAGTACTTTTAAAAAATAATAATAATTACACCTTAAAAGGTTAAAAATGTTTAGCATTCAATCCTTTAAAAAATATAAGATATTTTTTAACGAAAGGAATAAAAATTAAGATGTTAATAGTTAATAGAATGATAAAGTATTGAAGACTTTTTGAAGACATGTTGAGGTTAAATTAAAAAGATGAAATTTAAACAAAAAAACATAGATAAATTAGAGAAAGTATGAAGATTAAAAAAAATGTGTTTAGATTAAAAAAAGCTTCACAATATAAGCAATGAAAAATCAATAAAAATCATAAATAAATAAAAAATAAGAAGAATACGATGTACTGTACGCATATTGTTTAGTTCAAGTCCCACATCGTGTATGTCAAAAGAGAAGGGAGGTGCGCTTATCTATAAAAGGAGGGAGCAGCATGCTCTGTCACGCATCAGGGCCGGGTTTTACTTTTGTAGAAATTACAGCTCATGGCTCAACGTTTTTGATAATTTTGTTTTTGGCTTTTCCGTTTTTGGATTTTTTAATTTTTATCCATTTGGATTGTCTTCGTTTATAGAGCTTGTGGATGGGAACCTAATTGTCAGGAACACCCTTTTCAAAACTACTAAGCTTGCTGGAAGAACACCTGATCTAAAGCGTCTCTTCAAATTTAAACACTTGAACAAAGAAGTTTTTAGACATGAAGTTAAATGGAACTCCTTAACCTTGTATGGGTTAGACTCGATAATGATAGCTCGATTAGCACAAATGGAGCTGCTACTTGAGGTATCATCAAAAATGACAAGGGTAATTGGATTAAAAGCTTCCACAAATTTGTCGACTACCAGCATAGCTCAACTATAGAGCTCATGAGAATCTACGAAGGCCTCAAACCTTTGCTAAAATCAAAAATTTAGCAATGTTAATGTCTACTCGGACTCGATGGAGACGCTGCCTCTCATTAATCATGGCTATTATGGAGATCATCCTTTATTTGACACAATCAAAAAAAATCAGAGATCTCACTATGAGAGATTGGGTGGTCACTTTTGATCACGCATATAGAGAAGCAAATAATTACACTGATTTCCTAACATATAAACCTTATTTGAAATGTTTTAATGTTATGATCAAATGATCCACTAAATGACTGTAAAAGCCTTATGGCTTTAGACATAATTAGGATTTAGTCTCCCTACACGATTTTGCCATGACCTTTTACTCAAAAAAAAAAACTACTAAAAGGATAAGGAATGAACGCATGAGTTATGATGCCAACCTAGAAGTGGATAGCTCAGTTTAGGAAGATGATAGTAGTGGGTGTGTTGGCTTCTTGCGTGACTAGCAACTCCAATGGATTTGTGGCTTTAGTGGTAAAATCAATGCAGTACCTCATACTATTGTAGAACTTATTAGTCTGATATATGGATTAAGCATATGCTGGTTGAGGGGACTTCGTAGAGTAAACATTTTATGTGGATCGCATGGAGGCCATCTACTTGATTTTGAAAGGATGTAACAGCGAACATCAGTTTGCAGACATTGTAGAGGAAGTAAGATCTCTCTACCATAGAGATTGGCTAATTCTGAACGCTCAATCACATCTTCTCAGTATTTATTCTCATAGTTTAGACTCTAGCTTTGTAATATTTGATTAATCCCCCTCCTTTTTAGCTAAAAGAGGAGGAGGATGAATGATTTTTTCTCTTCTTGTTTGTTACTTCTTTAATTAGCAATGTTTTTCTTCTATTTAAAAAGAAAAAAAGAAAGGTATATTATGAAACTTTATTTTTATCAAATTATTTTATATTTTAGGACGTTAAATCTTCTATAAAAGTATTTTATATTTTAAAATGGAAGGAGCATTACTTTCTCACGCCATCCAGTATTTTTTTATTTTTAAATTCATAATTTTTATGGCCTACATAAAAAAATATCACACATTTATAATTTTTTTTGGCAATAAAAATTTAAGTGAGTGGGGCCCTAAAAACTCGATAAAGTCATGACATGTCTTCTAGCTCAAAAGTGCTTATAGAAGTACTAATAAATTGCCTACCGATAAGGTCTTTATATTCATAGTGAGATTTGATTTCATAATTTGGTGAGTTATGTGATAAATTCTTAAATAAAAAAGGATTTGGCAGCTTATAATTTATGATATTAAAAAATTCTAGGTTATGAGGACTTTATTTGTGAGTGATTTGTAAATATCTCTGTAAATATTTTTTGAGTTTAGAGATATGTCTTGACCTTAATAAGTCTCAAGATCTAACTCATTTAATCTTCTCATTATATAAAAAAAAATTAATAGTTTATGATATTATATACAAAAAATAACTTACGATGTTTTATAAAAAAAAAAAAAACTTGTGATAGATTAAAAAAGGTTTTGGCATTCAACCAAAAGAGGACTTGGCATCCAACCAAAAGAGGACTTGGCATCTTCTTTTTTTTTTTTTGAATAAAAAAGGATTTGACAACTTCTTCTTGTTGTTGTTTTTATTTTTCCTTTTTTTTAATAAATTTGATGTTGAGAAGCTTATTTATTTAGGAGAATTTCGGTAACCTTTCATTTGAATAGGAAGAAAAGTTGAGAAAAAAAAATAGGATGAGAAAAAATGGAGAAAAGAAAAAATTAAAAAAAAATATTATCAATTTTTATATTTAAATGGATATAAAAAAATTAAGAAAATAAGAAAATAAGAAAATATTATAATGACTATAATATCCTTATATCAAAATATATTGTTTCATGTAACTGTATGTATAAAAATATATTTAAAGTAAAAATTATATAAAAATTAACACTATCAAAATAATTTAAAATTAAATCAATTGGTAGAAACTACTTTCATGTTATTACATTTTAAAATCAAATAATTTATCAAAAATATGTTATTTTTTATTTAAAAAAATTAAAAAGTGGATAATTTTTTAAAATTAAATATAAAAAATGAATAAATTTCAATTCAGCTTTTGGCCTGTTGGTAAGAGCATTTTGCCATCACCTATAATCATGAGTTATGCGGTTAGCATATGAAACTATAACATGAAAAATAAATTATATCTACATAATATCATAAAAATGTGAAAGGCACACATTTATAAAAATATGCAATTTATATAGAAGATGGAGACAAGCACAGCACTGAGACACAGCAATGTGAAGTCATTAATTTTTAAGCCAAAGACTTTCATAATCATAAAAATTATCTGACTTAGCATTAAATTATTTTTATGATAATTACTATCACTTATTTTTTTGGCTAGATATTATCACTAATTATAGTGTAGCAAATATAATCTAAATTAGAATACTGAGATCTTAAGGCAAAAAATGGAGGATAGAAGATAATAAAATAGAGACTCCTATGCAAAGAAGTAGCAGGGTATACGTAGAATAAACATTTTTCTCATAAAATCTCTCCATTTGTGGAGAGAAAATATGGCAGGTTTCACATATTTATTTTCCCCTCAACTTTTCTTTTCTTCTACTTTTTCTTTATCGTTCAAATAGGAGAAAAGTTATTTTTTTTCTATTTTTTCCTCATATTTTCTTTTCTCTCGTGTTTTCTCCCCATCCAAATAAAACATAAAGGATCATGAATGTGACTTGCTTTCACATCATAGCTAATAAAATCTAAAACAACATTGCAAGATCTAAAGACTAAATTGTAATTATTTAAAAAAATGATCAAAATACCTTTCATTTATTTTAAAAAAATAAAACCCACCAGCCACCGTTGTCGGGGCCTTGCTAGTGACAGCAGCTACTAGACCTCTATTGCCAAAGCTCTGACCACCAATTGGACTATTATTGACGGTGGTTGAAGAATTATGAAAAATTAAATTCTCTAAAGGTGACTAAGGATGGGTTTATAACCCCTGACCTCTTAGCTCACCAAAAAAGTAAAAATCATTAAGCCGTTGAACCCATTTAACTATATGATACAAAAAATTATATATGAAATAAACCTTATTTTCAAATCACTTAATTATTATATTACTTGTTAATTGCGTAATTTTACTTGTTAATACCTTAACATGACTTATTAATTACTTAACTTTTCTTACTAAATTCATGACTCTCATAACATAATTATATTACTTATTAATCATATAACTTTACTTATTAACACCTTAACAAAATTTGTTAATAACTTAACTTTCCTTGTCAAGCCTGTGACTTGCACAACAAAACTATATTGCTTATTAGTTGTGCAACTTTATTTTTAATTACTTTACTTATTAAACTCATAACTCTCACAACAGAATTACATTATTTGTTAATTGTATAACTTTACTAGTGAATTTTGCAACATTGCTTGTTAATTACATAGCTTAACTTGTTAATACCATGACAAGACTTATTTAACTTTTGTTTCGAAAAACAATTAAATTACTTATTAATTATGTAACTTTATTTGTTAATTCCTCAACAATACTTGTTTGTCGTCACTTGTTAAATGAACATATAATTTACATAAAAGAGTTTGTTAGATAACAAAAGTGATGAAAGTCGAGTCTTTTTTATCAGTACTCATCGAACTAGATACTCAATTATATATATAGAGCAATATTCTAAAAAAATAATGTTAATAACTAAAATTAAAGAAATGACAAACTATATTGAGCTTTTAACAAGTCTACTTTTTATCATAATAATCAAGAGGTTTTAAACTAAGATTTATTATACATATAATTTTGAGAGAGTCAAGGATTTAACAAGTAAAGTTAAGTAATTAATAAGTAACGTTATACGATTAACAAGTAATGCAATTCAGTTGAGGGAGTCATAAATTTAACAAGCAAAGTCAAGTAATTAACAAATTTTATTAATAAATTAATAAATAAAGTTATGCAATTAACAAGTAATATAGTTTCGTTGTAGGAATCACGAACTTAATAAAGAAAGTTAAGTAATTAATAAGTTATGTTAAGGTATATTAATACATACAATTACACGATTAACAAATAATATAGTTTGTTATGGGAGTCATGGACTTAACAAGGAAAGTTAAGTAATTAACAAGTTTTATTAAGGTATTAATAAGTTAAAATATGCTATTAATAATTAATATAATAACCAAATAGTTTGGAAACATAGTTTATTATATATATAATTTTATGTAGGGTAAAGTAGCAAATTTGGCCACAAATTATTTTTCAAGGAACATATGGTAGCCTAAACTATCAGATAGTGCAAAATAAATCTTGAACTTCCAAAAATGAAGTATCCAGTAGCCTGCTGTTAACTTAAATTAACGCACGTAATATAGCGCCCACAATGACACATGACACAACACGAGCATGACACGTCAATACGATAAAAGTGTAAATTTAACCACAAACTATTTTGCTAAGAGCGCCGGGTAGCCTTTACTATAAAAAAAGGAATCATCTAACACCTTCCCCTCAATTTGATTAAACATCATTTATTTTTATACTTATGAAGCCTATAAAGCATTAATCTCTCCAATCTTCTTGCCTTCATTCTCAACATTAGCTCTAGAAGAAGAGGTTTAATAAGTTATTATTTGAAGACAATGTTAATGAAGTAAAAGTTTGATTTTACTATGCATGAAAAAAACTTGATTCTAGCTTAATTTAGTCATGAATTGTTTCTTCTACTTTGTTAGCATCGTTTTCGTGAATATCTTCCAATAAGAACTCTTTCAATCTCTTACTCTCGAGTTGAGATTGAGAACGAAGGCAAGAAGATGGAGAGATTGATGCTTTGTGGGCCTTTTAAGTATGAAAATAAACAATATTTCGTCAAAATTGGGGGAAGGTGTTGGACGATCCTTTTTTTTATAGTAGAGGTTACCCAGTGCTTCTCAAAAAATAGTTCGTGGCTAAATTTGCACCTTTATCATGCTAACGTGCCGCACCTGTGTCGTGCCACATGTCATTGTGAGCCCCACATAACGTCCGTTAGTTTAAGTTAACGGCGGGCTACTGGATGCTTCATTTTTTAAAACTCGTGATTTATTTTACACCATCTGATAGTTTAGGTTACCAGATTTATAGTTTGTAATCAAATTTACACCTTTACCCTTTTATGTATTATGTAATTGCATGTATTTAATGGTTTGGTGATCCTTATTTTTTTTTATAAGTCAAGGGATCATGAGTTCTAAATTTATCCTTAACCACCTTTAGAGAATTTAATTTAATTTTTTAGCCACCGACGGCGGCTGATTGATGGTTGAAACTTCGATAACAAAGGTCCAGTGGTTACTTTTACTAAAAAGACTTTGATACCAAAGGGTAGTGCTTTATAGTTGGAGTTTTTTTTTTAACAAAAAATAAGTAAAGGTCATTTTAATCATTTACTTTTAATTTTTTTTTAATTTAGTCTTTGAGTCCTGCAATCTAGTTCAAATTTTGTTGGGTGTGATTTCAAAATAAGTCACACCCCTGGTTCTTTAATGAAATTGTCCCTGTTTATTTGGAAATTTTGCTCGGAAGACCAGACTTACCCCAGTGGCAGAGCCTGAGGCTGAAATTGGCACAGAATGAATTCCATGATGAAGGCAGCTCCTATTTTTCTCTTCTTCCTTCTTATTTCGATCCTAGGTAATGTCCTTTAGATCTTTTGATTATTTCAATTAAATGTTTGCGTAATTGAAATTTTATAACTTCTCCTTCGATAGCTTTTTGTTCTCCAATGCCTGATTAGCGGTTTGTTTAGATCATGTTAATTTGAGTTCAGTTGTTGGAAATTCTTGGTAGTTTCTATTCCATTGATCGGTTTCGTGTTTGTTCTCCCTGGGTTAGCGTCTGCTAAGAAGACCGCTGATGTAACGGAGTTACGGATCGGTGTGAAGGTAAGATGCTCTCTTTCTTTTAGATCTATGTTCTATCCTTTTTTAGAACTGAAGTTGTTGAATTAGGAATATGTGCGCACGATTTCCCAAACACTGAAGTCAACTTTTTCTAGATATAAATTTATTGCTTTCGGAATTTTCTAGTTTGACTCCAACACATGAAATGGTAATTGGCTAATGTCTGGTGAGTTCATATATGAAAAATGTGATCATCTAACAAAATAAAACAATGAACCCAAATTTTATTGTTGGCATTATCTCAAGCGTGATGTGGCCAGGCGGGCTGTGTATGGTACCGGTCAATATTGTGAATGTGTAAAGCTTAGGTTCTTCAGTGTGTGTTTATGCGTTGTAAGGATATACGCATACATAGTTTTTTTTCTCCATGTTACCTCCTGGAAGGATACTTTTATATAAATTGATTAAAATGTAAACTCTACAGATTATAGTATCTTAAACATTTCTACATTTTCCTAGTTTGGAATAAAGTTAGATGAAGTGCCTTGCATAGTGGGATAGAGTACAACAACATTATGCAATCCATGTAGCGGACTTCATTTAGTGGCATAAAACTTGTTGAAGTGCCTTGCATAGGATAAAATGTTGGTAACTTGTACCTGGTGTAATGGTTATATTTTAAGTTGATGAATATACAAGCTCCTTCTTTCATAGATATGATAATTTTATGTTACTATTCTGGGTAACTTTTGAAACTAATAAAAATGACTTTGGTATTTAGTTTTGGTGATTTAACCATGGCTCAATATAAATATGTGATGTCAGAAAATTATGCTTACTGTCTTATTTGATTGCCTTTCTCAAGGATGATGGTCATTTCTAGAACTAGGTAGATCAATTTGTCCTGCTAGGCCAGTATTTCACAGGGAAAATAACATTAGCAGAGCAATAACAGGGATAGAAGTAACAGTGTTGCAGAGGGATGAAGAAAAAGCTTTTACACATGGGGCTTGCTATTGTTATTTTCTTGGCCCTGATCGCTATTTTTGGGAATTCTCCATGTCGATACATGTTGTGTGTGTGTGTGTGTGTACATATCAACACTATTTTGAACATGTTGTACATTGGTCATTGGGTTTGATTGCTATGCTCACTGTTGACTCTAATCAATTTTTATTTTCTTGACTCTAATCACTTGCTGTTTATTGTCTCTTCCTCTCTGCAGCACAAACCAAAGTCATGTGAAGTTCAGGCACATAAAGGCGATAGAGTCAAAGTACATTATCGGGTAAGTAGATTTCCTGGTTCATTTGATGAATATGTTACGATGAAAAGATTACGAGTAGAACTGTTAAACTTGCAATAATGTTAAATTTAATCAAAGTTGTTTTTCCAGGGGGTGGAAAGTATGAGATATCTCATAACCTTAACCTAGTCATTCATAATATGGTTCTAATTTCTGAGGAAGCTATATTTCTTCATATGCGCGTTCTTTTTTGCTTCCTGTTATTGCTTCTTCATCTCTTGGGTTTTTCCTATGGATTTTTTTGTGATATTTTTTAGTACATTAATGTCTTGAGTAGTTTCAGTTGACTTTTTTTTTTAAATAGAAAATTATTTCTGGAAGGGGCAATGCTCATAGTAGTTCCTTTTCCATTTATTAATGCGATCAACCCTACCGACAAACTCGTTATAATATTCCAACAAGTTGTAATATTTGATCAAATAACCCTGATTAACATTTAAGTCTTATTAGGTGTTCATGATGAAATTTAGTGACAGCCCCTTTTCAATGCCGTGGACATGACAGTATTCATGTGTGTTTTTGAAATATTTCTACATTTCCTTTTGGAAGTAACGTGAATGAATGTATTGTTCCTTGCCTTGGTGATATATGAGGTTTTTTTCACAATCTTACCTGCTATCTGATCTTAGGCATTGAACAGACATAAGCCTACAGGCCCTAAAAGTATGGAAGCTTTTCGTCACCAGAAGCTTCATAAATTTACTACCATTCTTATATCAACAATTTCTTCTCCTTCTCTCATGTCCATAGTTGATTACCAATTTGCGTCTTTTTATTATGTATTTTTTGCTTTTTGCTTTTATATTGTACGTGTCCTTTTATATGATTTGTTCTCAGATTTTTGGAAGACTGTTTTCTGTTTTGTGTTTGTTAGCAAAATCTGTGTCTGATTTTTTCCATAAACCCTTCAGACTCAAATTCCTCCTTATCTGAAGTATTGTACTTCTCATTACATGTCCTGTTTTTTTTTTTTTCCTACTTAATTCCTTTCATTCATTGTTTGTTGAATTACTTGAGGCATATTATTCAATTATGTCAACTTTTATTTGTATTTATTTTTCCTTTTATTTGTTAAGATGTTTCTAATATGATTGCATATGATTCTCAATCTATTCGTTTTCTTTCAAGCATGAAAATAATATCATGCAAATAGCAAAATTTTAATTCCGGTTCTTTTTGCTGTAAATAGCATCTGAAGTCTTGGTGATTCATTTGGTGAGGGATCATCCATTCATGTAATTTGTATGTATCATATTGAGTCTAATACTTTGAGCCCTATTAAGAAGGGTGGAGAAAGGTTAAAGAGAATACTTATGAAAGTTATTAATCGAAACCTCTTAGTTAACAACATTTCTAGAAGTTTGGTAAATGATAAAGAACACTAGCGTCGTACAATTTATGTAGCCGACCCCACCTAGTGAGATAAGGCTAATTGTTATTGTATATTGAGTCTAATACATTGTCACTTGTTTCAGGGAAAACTTACTGATGGAACTGTTTTTGATTCTAGCTTTGAAAGGGATAGCCCAATTGAATTTGAGCTTGGTACTGGACAAGTGATCAAAGGTTTGCTACTTTGTTAATGTGTAATAAATTTCTGGATTCCTAATTTTTTTTTTTTTGCAATAACACTGGTGGTGGATAATTATAAATGCATTAACATATAAATAATTGCTCCCACAGCAATTGTTAAAAGTAACTTGAAAAATGCACATTTAATTTGAGTAACTTCGACAAATTTCCTTCCACCTGATCAATGATGATTTGGGTAATAAAAGGAGTCATTCATTATCTGCAATTTGCTGCTTTGCCTTCTCAAATTTCGCAATTACTGAAGACTCTAGAGATGAGAAAAAATTAATTGAGCAATTAAATTTTGGGAAAGATGCCTTATTGCATCTGTATTGTTCCTTGCTACCTCCTTCCTATCCTTTCTCTCCCCCCTCTCCCTGCGGTGAAAGAAGCTATTAAAATTGTTATTAAGGAAATTTGAACCTTCATGGGAAATTTTATATCTCTGCTGATATGGTACAGATATATAGACTAAAAGTTGAACATTTGCATCCCTATTTGCATGGTACAAGTGTATAAGCTAAAAATTCATTGCAAAACACTTGACTATAATTGATGGCAGATTTTCTTATGGGGTGAAGGATTCCATGGTTGATCATTTTCTCTTTGCAGGGTGGGACCAAGGATTATTGGGAATGTGTCTTGGTGAGAAGCGCAAGTTACAAATACCAGCAAAACTTGGCTATGGAGAGCAGGGTTCCCCCCCGACTATTCCTGGTAATTCCCTCAAGTTATTCTTCAAACTGAACCTTCTTTCTAGTTGATTAAAAAAAAATTACCGTATGCCAAGCCAGATACCTGATGAGGATAAGATCAGATTGCCCGTTTACTTGAAATGACCTGATTGGTATTTTCTCTGTCGTAGAAGAGGGTGTGCTCTTTGTTGAAGCAATCTCTTGTTCAGTTGTTTGGCTGCATTACTTTATCTGCTTAGATTCTGGCATTTACATACTTTTCTAGACCTGTTTATGCAGTTGATTTAATCTAGAGAAAAAAAAAGACTTTTTGGGTAGATTGAACTAAGGTTTGATGATTATTAATAAAGGCATAAGCAATGGTTGTGATGTGAAAGGAGTATTTGTCGAACATCATTGTAGTTTGAAACTGTCTGTGATCTCTTTTCTTGAATTGGCTAAACTCTTAAAGTACTGGGGAGTAATTCTCAATGAAAGAAGTCAATGGTAGATCAATATCTTTATAGAATATAAAATTTATAGGAAGCCACGATATTTATAAGCCAGAAATAGGTATCTCACCTAAAATTCCGTGTTAAGCATGGACCAGCAATTTATTACAAATTCACAGCTGTTTGTATTTTATAAAAAGTTGAACATCGTGTTAACTGTGGATTTTGTCAACAATAGTGAATTGTCATCCACTTTGTATCTCTCTCTAAAGTGAATGTACACTTAGTAACTATTATTGCCCTCTCTTTGTCAACCGTGAAAAGTATTTCATTATTCATATCTAAATATGATAATTTGTTTATATATATATATATATGTATGGATGCCATGACTGGATGCGGATATGTTACCACACGTAGTTTACAAGCGTTCTGTCAATCCCTGAATCATATACTGATTAGTGATTTTACAATTTACCATCTCTGTGTTGACCACCTTCAAGTGGGAGTTATTACAGAGACTAGGATAAAGTTTCTTGCATTTGTAGTCATGTTTTCCAATACATTGTAACGTGTAATGATTTTTATATCTATAAAAAAAGGAGAAAAAAAGGCAATCACATGTTACTGAGCTGCAAAAACTGTGTTTGTGTGTGTGTGTGTGTGTGTGTGTGTGTGTGTCATATCATTTTTCTTGTTTTTTTCAATGTTATGAAGTCTTGTCTTTTAACTATGACTTTGTCATGCATAATACTTAAACATATTGACTGTGCATTTCAGGTGGCGCAACCCTCATTTTTGACACTGAACTCGTAGGAGTGAATGGGAAAACTTTAACAGAAGAAAAACCAGACTCTGAGCTTTAGAGATGTCATGTTCCTTCCCATGAGAAGACAGACATGACTTCGGCTGTTCTTGTTAGCTTATTTGACTTTAAACCTTCACCCTGTTGCTAAATTAGAAAGATTTTAGTTGGCGGACCCAATCGTTCCATTGCTTATTTATCAAGTGTTCGGAATGTTATGAGAAGTCTCAAAAATAATTCTTGGTTTTTGTTTGATGAGTATCTCAACCCTTTATCTATAATGAGAAGAATTACTGTTAAAGTGTGACTTCGTGAGGAAATCATTTGAATTTCGAAAATTATTTAACTACCGCGTCTGGGATACGTCGAAGTTTAAATTCAAGTTCCAGGATGATGAAATTAGGAGGGAAATTATGGGCAAACCTTGCTTTGATTTGCTATGCTTCTATGCAAATAGAAGTATAGAACCAAGGATCTAGCATTTTTTTTTTTTTTCGTCAGTGCCAAATCTGAATGTTATTTTATGGTTATTTAGAGACATAAATGATGCATACGAGATTTACTGGTGTGTAGTACCCAGTTACCCATGGGGTCAGCTCCCCTCCTCCCACCATCCCCCGGACCTCTTACTAAATTTAGACGGTCCATATTAAATGTTTTAATTTTAATTTTATATTTAAAATAAAAAATTTTAAATCTGTTTAGCAATTTGGATAGTTTGGATTTAATATGGATAATTAAAATTTAATATCAAATGAAAATTTGATTTTAAATTGAGGAAGAAGGCAGCCAAAAACTAATGATAATCTACCGCTAATGCCAAATATTCTCGATTTGAGTCTCATAATGGTTTGAGGATGATGTTTTCTGCACATGTCAGGGGTTTGAATTGACATTGGAAAATAAAGCGCCGTTTAGTTGGCAGGAATGAAGCATCTAAAAAGGGAAAGAGAAAATGAATTTTCATTGATTTGGTTTAAGACTACACAAAGGACTGAATAAGATTGGACATCAACTAAATTCAGAATTTGATCCTTTTTATGAAAAGAACTGGGTTAGATAATTCATAATTCGGTCTGGTCCTATAAAAATTGAAGATTAACAAGATTGGATTTGGTTCATAGGATTAGGAGACTGGTCATATTAATCTAGTACTCACTTGGCCTTTTTTTTTTTTCTCTATGATAAGCAATAATTCATTTCAACCTAATAAATTCAATTAAGATAATAAAAACACTTATAATCATAATAAATTCATAATGATTTCTAACATTAAGAAAATAATATTTCAGTTACAGTCCAAATTCCAAATGATTTAAACATATAACTTCAACAAAAACACTCAACAAAGTTCAACACTACATTACATCTGTCATGTAATTATCTCCTTAACTTCAACAAAAACAAACTCAAAAATATTCAAATAATTATCTCTTTAGCTTCAATAACACTTGAAGCATTTGTCAAAAAAAATTATATACACATATATAAAGTGATTAGTAAGTGTAAAAATGTATTATATAAATTAAATTAAGAGGCATAAAATTAAATATATTACTTGCAACATTAATTACATTGTCAGTCTCTTGAAAATTGTCAACCTCATGAAATATAGAGAAAACCTATGAGAGAGATTGCCCTGCAACTAGCCAATTTTGGGTATAAATGTGTGCTTCAGTCATCTTAGGAGATAACTCCTATAATCATCAACAACACGTTTTCCAATGCTAAAAGTTGATTCAGAAGCAATTGTAGATACTGGTATAGCTAATACATCTCATGCTATCAAGGAAAGCACTCTGTACTTGGTATAATTAACCTTCCACCATGTCAAGATATCAAAATCATCATCATCATCATCATCATCAATAGAGGTGTCCTCAGACGTACTAGCGAAAAGGTATCTATCCAACTCTAATTGGGTATCAACTAATGAGCTTTTTTGCTTTTGGGATGCTAACCATCTACGACTAGGGTCTTTTTTACCTTTACTTGCATTTGAAGTGTTAATGTCAGGAGCACTTAGAGAGTTGGCACTACCAAAACTACTTGTATCATGACAAACTATTACAGAGTATTCCTCAAATAGGCAATACAAAGTGTCTCTTGCCTTATTCTTCATGGATATGCAAAGGTCAGGGGCAAGAAAAAGCTAACCAAATACGTGATTGATATAGGAAAGCTTGTATCGAGGATCGAGAATCACAACAATAATCAACAAAAGGTTCAAACTATCTGCTGCTCCCTAATGCTTACCATATTTACTCTTCATGCTCAAACACATCTCCCTAAGAAGAGAGTCATCACTTTCAATATTCTCATCTCACTTTCGTCTCTTGAATTTAAGCAATTTGATGAAAGCATGTATGTGCAATAACTTTTAGTGTGTAGAAAATTACAAAATGACATCATAAAACACCTTTAAGAACTTAAGAAAGAATCGTGCTTTATTCCAAGCTTGTTTGTTTAGAGGGCCATTATGCTTAAGAGGAGCTTGCCTAGAGTAAGCAAAAGCATCCATGTTGCAATCGGGTCTAGCACCTTGCCTATAAATATAGGCATCCATGCTACCATTTAAACACGAAAAGTCACTCCTGAGCATGATGCTTTGAACCTTTATTGAAGTAGCTAACAAAATCTTCATCCTTATCCTTTAATCTTTCAAATGCCTTTTAAAACTTCAAAGCCACATCCAACATTAAATATGTAGAATTCCATCTAGTACTGACATCGAGGCAAACAATACTTTTTATGTCCAGCATTTCTAATTCACAAACATCTTTAAATCTTTGCAAGTGAGAAGGAGAGGAACGAACATATCTAATAGCATTTCAAATAGACTCAAAAGTATCTTTCAACTCTTTCAACCCATCATTAACAACTAGATTAAAAATATGTGCAGAATACCATAATTAAAGATAATCACCACCACAAACAAGACCCCTCCAATTCTTTAGACGCCTTTTTAAGTAAGACAAGGTTGTGTCATTGGAAGTTTTATTATCCATGGTTGTAGTGAACATATTTTGCATGCACCAGTCAGATAAGCATCTTTCAATTGTCTTGCCTATCATGTCACCCTTATGATTCTCAACCATGCAAAAATTGAGAATCTTCTTATACAAGTTCCAATCATTATTAATGAAATGGGCCATTAAACATAAGTAATTGAAGTTTTGAACTGATGTCCAATAGTCTATAGTGAGGCAAAGAGGATTAGTACACTTCTTCAACAAATTTTCAAGATTCTAATTTCATTAAGATACAATTGCTAGGCATCTTTAGCCATTGTTGTTTTTGAAAGGATTTGAAATCGTAGTTCTAACTCCTTCACAAACTTTTTAAAGCCTTCCTTCTCAACAAGCCTAAATGGCATCTCATCACATATGATGAATTCAACTAGAACCCTACGACATCGTTTTTGATTGAACATGTGAGATACTAAGCTTCCGTCTTGCCCTGTCACATAATTCAACATAGATTACTTTGTCATTTATGTAGCTTTATGTAGATTCTTGGGACACTTTGGTACATGCCTCTTCAAGGATATTAAGCCATGCTTGCCTGGGTCATAAGCATAATCTAAATTACAGTACTTGCATGCAGCTCTAACTTCTCCATTTGTCTCCTCCAATGATAACTTAGTAAAGTATTTCCACACTTTTAATACCTTTCTTGTAGAATTTTTTTCTCTTCCTACTACCTTCTGTAGCTTCACTTTCAGTTACAATTACAAGAGGAGGAGTACATTCCATAGTAGTTAGAGGTTGAGGAGGAGGAGTAGGTGTCAAAGATAGTCCAGAAGGTATTGAACTCACATTTTCACCAATGAAAGAAGATGATTGAGGTTGGTCAATGCTGGATGTTTGCTCAATATCCATCACTTCACAATGATAAAATATAATTGAGAGCATATAATTGATAAGTTATAATAACACAATGATAAAAAGGAAGCAAAATGGACAAGTTATAACAGCACAAAATCATGGTAGGTAACACAAGCCAAAACATGAGAGCATATAATTGATAAGGTGATTACTAATAAAAATCAGCCCACAGAAATGTCCTGCGAACAGATCAACACAGACATGGGGAAAAACTTTAGATAATTGTTATGTTATGGCAAGTCAATCCAAATCTGTGTAACAAATTTCAACAAATTCTGGATCATGTAGAGTGATGAGGCAGAGTCAGGGGAAAAGATACATCCACTTTAATGGTTTTTCATATATTCGGTGATCATGCAGAGTTAGGTAAAAAAACAAGGGAAATAAGAATAAGAATATGCTAGACTTAGGTCAGCACAAGAAATCTCTACAGCTACTTTTCAGGTAAAAAGATGAAAGAAAGAAGAACAAGGAAATGTAAGACTTGGGTCAACACAAGAAATTTCTACAGCTACTTTTCAACTGAAACCTCTACAAGAAACTTTAGAAAATGAGAGCAAGGGTAGGGTGATGGTTAACAGGACATACCTGGCGATTACGTGCTCAAAGGTGCGAGAATAGTAGTGAATCAGAGGTTAGGAGTAATGGAGAGTAAGGGTGGGGCGATGTTGTGGCATGCTCGACAGTGAATCAGATGTGAGAGGTGACGATAGATGGACCGACAGTGGTGGCATACTAGCAGAGCAGCGGAGGGCAAGAGAATGGCTCAAGCAAGAATGAAGAGCAATGAATCAGAGGTCAGGGGTGATGGAGACTAGAGAGTAAGGGCAGGCGAAGCGATTGATGGTGGTTGATGGTGGCACACTAGAAGAGGCAGGGGCTGGGGTTTCGGTGCACTGGAGAAACTAAGAATGAGTGCCTGTGGATTGAGACTCGAGTATGTGGCTGCATGCTGGAGCTGGACTACTAGTATAAGACTTTTTCTTTTTTTTTTCGACATGTAAATGCAAGACATGAAGACGGTAAGAGTGTAAGACTAATTCACTAACTTATTAATTAATAATTTATAAATTATTTTTAATTATATTAAAATAATTATATAAGACCACACTGGACCACTTAGTCCAGATACTTGGTCTCTAGTCTAGTTTTACCCAAAAAAGCAGTTCTGTCTTTTTGGTATTTTTAGTCTTATAAGACCAACATTTTATAGGATTGGACAGGACCGGGTTTTCACGGGTCGGACCAAACCATAAGACTTTTGCGCAGCCTAATCTAGTTGATATGAAATTTAATTCTCAGGAATCCATTTTCTAAATAAGGTGAAAAATGTAAGAAATCTTTTTTTTTTGTCTCATATTTTCTCTTGATATTACTAACCATAAATGATCTAGAGCAATGGTTCTATAATTGTGAAAAGAGAATGATATCTCATTGAAGAAGCTTATGAGTATTTTTATATATATAATATATTTCAATTCAAGATTTCATGTAAACTTAACAAGCTTCTTTTACCCATGAAGTATTTGAAGAAATGGCTTGAAGGGATAAAAACCATGTCTCATGAATAAACAGTACGTTATAATAACACAAATGGTCCTTTTTTAATATTTTATTATTTTATGATGGAGAAAATCTCATCAATCAATATTGTAAAGTTCTTCATCCCATTGTAGATGTACAGTGGGATCAATAGTAACTTTTTTTAAAAAAATTACATTTTTAGAGATTATGTGGGATGGCAATATAAAAAGTTTTATGGTGAAAAATAGTAGAAAATGTGAGACTAATAATAAAAAAAAAGTGTCAGACTCTATCATTTGGTACTTATTATATGTGTGAGAGAGAGATATCATAATGTAAATTATTTTTGTCCCAATGTAAATCTACAATGGGATGTAATTTGTACTTTTTTAAATATTTTTAGAGATTACTTGGGACCCATGCTGTAAAAATTAGTGTGACGTTAATGTTGGTAAATGTGAGAGTCATGATAAAAATAATAGGTGTGAGGCTTTATCATTTCCTGCTTATATTTTTTTTTATGTATAAGATAATAGTACAAGAAGTATTTGTTGTACTGTAAATCTATAATGGAATGAACGATGATTTTTAATTTAATATAAAAATAAATATGAGATTTATAGCAAAAAATATCAGTATATATGAAACCCATAATAAAAATAATATACGTGAGAGCCTATCATTCAATATTTATATTTTTTATATTTACAAGATAATAATGTAAAATGCATTTGTCTCACTATAAATCTATAGTGGATGAATGGTAATTTTTTTTAATTTTTCAAAAATTTTAGATTTTAAAAGATCATGTTCATGTGGCACTTGCAAGAAAAAAATAGGTATAGTACACCGTGTAAAATTGACGTGAATATTAGACTTAGTAAAAATGGAAAAATTATTGGATTGACTTGATGCACCATATCATTCATAATTTATCTAATAAAATTACATTATTTTAGTCAAATAAAATCTTATATGTCATTATTTTTAATGATTATATTTTTATAATAAAATGCTTATTTAATTTATTATATTTTATCTCTCTATTATTATTAATATTTGAATTAATTTATATTTAATACTATTATATTTTTAATATATACAAGGTAAAAAAATTTATATATAAATTTTTAACATACATGAGATATTATGTTATTTATGTTTCCAATATATACGTGAAAAATTACTTATAAAATAAAAAAATTATTTTTAAAGTAAATTATGGTTTGAGACCCATAGAAAAAAAATTATTGTAAAATGCGATTATGTGATTTGAAATTAATTTTATGATGTTCATAAATTTATTTTTCATTCCATGTCCTTTAAACGTATCTCAATTATTGTTTTTCTTATCATGAACATACATATAATTAATAAATAATGCCATAATGTCATATTATGCTATTTGCTTATTTGAAATCATTATCATAAATTATAGTATATGCTTCCTTATAGTATATCTTTTTATTTTTCTTATGGCGATGAATGGGCCAACAAATTCTGAGAAGAGATTAAGCTGATTTTATTTTAATTTGAAGCAGTTAAAAAATTTTAAAAAGTGTTTATATTTTTTATAAATGTTTATGTTTTTTTATGCAGCACATAATAAAGTAGAAGTTGTTATTTAAGTTTGAATTTGTCAGGGAAAAAGTGATGGATCTAATGTCCCCGTTAGGTATAATGAAAAAGTTTTTGTTAGAAGTAGAATTGACAATGGAAGTAGAAGCAAAGGTAAAAGTGAGATAAAAATACTCCTTCTATTTAAAAATATAAAGTATTTTTTTAAGAAGTTAGATGTTAAAAAATATAAGGTATTTTTAGTCTTTCGAGGTATAATTATTATTTTTTTTAAAAATATCCTTATTAATAATAATTTTATATTTATGATAGGGTGTTTAATATGGATAAATATGAAAAGATAAAGTTAATTGAAAAGTAAGTAACTATTTTATTGGGAGTAAGATTCAGTTAAAAATAACTTATATTTTTAAACAAAGGAAATATTTGATATGATGATGGAAGTGAAATAAAATTTTTATTTCAGTGAAAGGGATGAAATTGAGTTCTTACAGGGGTACGTTGAAAACAAGTTTCATGGTTTTTGATAGAATTGGTTCCTATGCACTAAACAAGTAAATTTCAAAATTCTACTTTCACTTTTCGAGTCTCAAACATACCAAACAAGACATAATAATATTTGTTGGTGGGTAAACTTTTTTCTTCAATTAATTATATGGGGCAAAACTTAATAGTAAATTTATTTTTAAATTTGATTTCAAAATTTTCCTCACATTGATTAAAAGAAGAGCACAAGGATAGAAGACCAGCATATTAATCCCGGGGTACAATACATTTAATATAAAATAAGCTATCACTTGTGTCTTCGATATGCATACACAACATAAAATTTAAAATAAAATAAGTTTTTATTTATATTTACTTCAAATAAATAACAAATTCTAAGTAGATTAACATAAATTATTTTATAATTTTTGAAAATTTACATTTTATTTTTAATTTTTAAATATTAAAATATTTCTAGTTATTACATAAAAAGGATCGCCTACGTAGAGAAGTATTAAAAAAAAATATGGAACTTGAGATTTCCCTATAGGACGACAAATTTCCTTTATTCAATTTTTTGGGTTAAATTTTATTCAAAATTTATTTTTTAATAATTAGTTATTTTTTTTGGTAAGTTTTTTGATAAATTTTATTCAAAATTTTCTCCTTTTTTATTTCAAAATTTACTTTGTACAGTACACTTTTTTTTTGGGGGGGGGGGGGGACCAACAGACCGGACATTCTTCTTAACCGTTTGTGACATGTTTGGCCCAAACAAAGTTCTTTGTGAGATGTAACAAAATTGAGCCGAAATTCAAAACCCGTTATTAGGATCAGGTTGGGTCGGGTTTATTAGCCCGTTTTGTGGGGTAAAAATGAGCGCTAGGGTTTCATAAGCGGGTCTCATATATCTTAGTTTAGAGTTCTAACCAGAAGAGCGGGAGAGAGGGGGAGGGACGAGGTGTTGGACGGCAGGTGACGCAGCTGATACAGCAGCTCCGCCAAGATGGGTACGATTTGATTCTGTTGTTGATTTCTAATCAGGATTGATCAATTCTTCGCTGTAGTAACAATTTCTGTTTGGATTTTTGTCTCATGAGCTTCTTCATTCTTCCTCAGGTATTTCCAGGGATTCCATGCACAAGAGGCGTGCCACTGGTGGCAAGAAGAAGGCTTGGAGGAAGAAGAGAAAGTATGTTTCTTATTGTGTTTTTTTCTTTTTTACTCTAGCTCCAATTTGTTACCCACTCTTGTTGCTTACTACTCAAATAATCTAATTTATCTTGTAGATTTTATGCCTGTGGCCAGTTGGTGGCTCTTTTACTTGTTCCAATGATTTTATGCGGTGGTAGCCAAGAAATAGAGAATTTTTAAGCTTAGAAATCGAAAATGGTGTCTGTTAGTGATGGCATTTTATCTATCCTCCATAAATGATTGATTTGTAAGGTAGTGATGTCCCAGTGGAGAATGCGATTTCTTATGTCCGGAAACTTCTATAGATCTCGCTGCTGTATTTCTACTTGCATCATTGTTGAATCCTACAAAAAATCTGTTCTATAATTTGGAATTTCACATCAAAGCATGAAACTAAACCCATTTAATGTTGGGCTTTTCGAGTCAAATTCAACTAGAGAATCGTCTGAAGGACATCTAATCGATCGTTCATGAATCAGAAAGAGAGCTTCTCCTTTGTCTTCAACCGACCTTCCTCCCCAAAACCAAAAGAAAAAAGTTTATGCTTCCTCGCACTGTCCATTCTGATGCAATTATTGAGTATGGCAGTTCTAAATTTATGATAAAGTAGAACAATGAATATCCTAAGATTTATGACCTTTTTGTATTTCTTCTGCTACATTTAAGGGAATTCTTGTATCTATTTCTGTCTGTGAGTTGAGATCTTACTATCAATGTTGATGACTATATAGAACATGCTTTTGTGTTATTATTTCATATGCCAGCATTCCCTTAATATTATTGGTTGGCTTTGTTATAGACTACATTTTCATAGTGATTACATCATAATATATGTTGCTCATGCAATATTTGTCGATTTGTATAGGTATGAGCTTGGTCGCCAACCAGCAAACACTAAGCTGTCAAGCAACAAGACAGTCAGGAGAGTTCGTGTTAGAGGTGGCAATGTGAAATGGAGGGCTTTGCGATTAGATACTGGAAATTATTCATGGGGTAGTGAAGCCGTGACCCGCAAGACACGTATACTAGATGTGGTTTATAATGCCTCAAACAATGAGCTTGTGCGAACTCAAACCCTTGTGAAGAGTGCTATTGTTCAGGTTGATGCTGCTCCTTTCAAGCAGTGGTACCTTCAGCATTATGGTGTTGATATTGGCAGGAAGAAGAAAACAGCTGCCAAGAAGGATTCTGCAGAGGTAATATTTTTACAAATCATAAAAATTTTCATTTCATTTATGATTTATGATTATAGCTCGGTAAGTCTACCAGATTTGTGGGGGTATGCAGAAAATGTTGGTGCAGGGTGGTTAAGAAGCCATACTAACCCATTTTTCACTGATTTTCTTGTCTTTGTTTTTCTAAAAGGGCGTTACAATTTTGGAAGGATAATATTGGAGATCGGAAGGTTTACTCTTGATGCCTACCTCACCCATTAATGACATTGTGACATTGAATGGGGGAGTGTGATAGCGTCCTTATTTTATCAAGTTTCAATCTGAAGTGTATTGTCTCACCACACCCCTCAACACTTCATCTGACCTCTTTAATGGCTATGCCTTGCAACTCTTTCAGAAAGTCCCCCAATCAAACTGAGTGATATGATTGAACGTGAAATAAGTGTAAAAGAAAAGTTCACTGTATGCATCAACTCTTTAATGGCTGCAGTGAAATTGTTCTCTGTATGCATCAAGTATAGTTTAAAAGTTCACTCCTCTCATGAATTTGATGTTTATTTGTCATTTGTCTTGTAGGAGGGTGAAGCTGCTGCTGTTGAAGAGACAAAGAAAAGTAATCATGTGCTTAGAAAACTAGAGAAGCGCCAGAAAGATCGAAAGCTTGATCCCCACATTGAAGAGCAATTTGGTGGCGGCCGATTGTTGGCTTGCATTTCTTCTCGTCCTGGTCAATGTGGCCGAGCTGATGGGTATGCTTAATCATATTTTTGTCAAAATCTGTGTTATTGATCTTTGTTTATAAATATTGATGCTTGATTGTCCTGAATAATGCAGTTACATCTTGGAAGGCAAGGAGTTGGAGTTTTACACGAAGAAAATCCAGAGGAAGAAGGGAAAGGGTGCTGGTGCTGCTTGAATGTAGTGTTCAATTTTCTAGTGCTTCCAATTATGTAGACTTAGTTGAATTTTTGCTGAATGGTACCTTTCAAGGTGCTTTTTATAGAATGTTCCCTCTCAAGACATTGATCTTTAACGAGTACAATTATTTAAATTATTGGTAATTTTGCTTCAACACTTTGTGTCTGATACTCTTCACTTTGCTTTGGAGTACAATTATTGGTAATGTTCCCTCTCTTCTAAGAAGTTTCTTGAGCGAATAATAGCTTTATTGCTTTTCAAATTTAAAAATTGACATTTGCATTGTCTCTTAAGATTTGAAAAATAATTGCAATTTTTATTAATTAGAAATCACAAAATTAGGAGCCAAACTTGCTACTTGTATTCCTATTTAAAATTGGGAAAACAAGTTAATGGAGTTGCAAGTTGTAGTACAGAGTTTTATAATCCATTATCTGTTAGAATAATGACAAAATGTTATTTAAGGATCAACGGATTTTTTTTTTTTTTGTATATTAAAATTGTTTGGGATTTAAGTTGAATAAATTAATTGCCTTGGAATTTAGTTGTCATTCTCCCAATTTGCTAACAATAATTTACCACTAGTGTCCGAGAGTCTCCATTTGAGTACCATGTTATGATATACAGATATTGAATTGAATGCCATACGCATTTGATATGTTGATATTTTTCATTTTTTTAATATGAGAGTATAAGTAAATCATATGGAAGAAAGCAATTAGGACATGTCTAAACTTATAAAGTTACAGTACCCTAGATAATTAATCTTAATATCAACATTGACATTATGGGCCTAACAAGCAAGCCAGTCCAAGCATTGATTAGCTTCTCTAAACACATAGTTAAAATCAATAGTCTAATCTTTTGTGGTCAAGTCTTTAATTTTCTCTATAGTTTTAGTAGGTGAAGTTATGTTGAATAAGTGAAAAAGTTTCAAGAGAGATATTTTCATTAAAAAAAAAAAGAAGATATGATAGGTTTTCCATACATGCATATATGTTTATAAACAAATACATAAAACTATTAAAAAATAATTTCAATTCAAAAAACATCCAAATTAATATATTTATATAATCTTTTATAGTAATTCAAAATAAAACGTAATCATTGTACTTTTATACTATCTATATTTAGTTGCCTATAGCCTTGTCCCCACCGATGGTTTCCTAGTTAGGGTTAACATGTCGAAAGAAAACATTCCTATGTTTTTTTTAAAAGTATTAAATTTTTTTAAAAGTATTAAATATGCATTGAAATTAAAATTAAAAAATTTTAAAAATATTTCAATATTTCATGAATACATATAAAAAAAGTATCTGCAAGTATAATTATCGAATATAATATCAACATGAATATATAAACTAATTTGAAATATTAATATTTCTAATAAATTTTCTCTCAATATTACTAATAAGAAGCTCTTGAGCATCTTTAACAAATATTTTATATCTAATATAATTCAATCCAAGTTTTCTTGTACTGTTTTTTTTTTTTTTTGGTGGCCAGCATGTTTTCTTGTGCACTCAACAAGCTTCTTTTACCCAATCGAAGAAATCGCTTGAAGGGATACAAACAAAACCATGTTTCTTGAATAAACAACGCGTTATGACAACACAAATAGTACATTCCTTCTTGATTTTTTTTTTTAAATTTTATGTTGGACAAAATCTCATTTGTACGGAAATAAGCTCACCTATGTAGAGAAGTATTGAGAAAAAAATATGGAACTTCAGATTTCTTCTTTATAGAACGCCATTTTTTCTTTGTTCAATTTTTTTGATAAATTTTATTCAAAATTTACTTTGTACGGTACTTTGTTCTTAACTCTTAAGTAAATAAAGTGGGCCGACATTGTAAACCGTAATTTGGATTAGGATGGGTCGGGTTTAACAACCCGTTTTGGGCCCAAAAAAATGCAGAGCTAGGGTTTCATAAACGGGTCTCATTTACCTTAGTTTAGAGTTCTAACCAGAAGAGCGGGAGAGAAGGTGGGGAGCGACGACGTGCTGGACGGCAGGTGACGCGGCTGATACAGCAGCTCCGCCAAGATGGGTACGATTTGATTCCGTTGTCGATTTCTAATCAGGATTGATCAATTCTTCGCAGTAGTAATAATCTCTGTTTGGATGTTTCTCTCATGAGCTTTTTCATTCTTCCTCAGGTATTTCCAGGGATTCCATGCACAAGAGGCGTGCCACTGGTGGCAAGAAGAAGGCTTGGAGGAAGAAGAGAAAGTATGTTTCTTATCGTGTTTGTTTCTTTGTTACTCTAGCTTCAACTTGTTGGTTGTTACCCACTCTTGTTGCTTACTACTCAAATAATCTAACTTGTCTTGTAGATTTTATGCCTGTGTCCAGTTGGTTGCTCTTTTACTTGTTCCAATGATTATATGCCGTAGTTGCCAATGAAGTAGAGAATTTTTAAGCCCAGAAATCGGAAATGGTATCTGTTTGTGGTGGCATTTCATCTATCCTCCATAAATGATTGATTTGTAAGGTAGTGATGTCTGAGTGGAGAATGCGAGTTCGTATCTGGGGGAACTTTTGTAGATCTCGTTGCTCTATTTCTACAAACATCATTGCAGAATCAAAGGAAAAGTCGGTTCTATAATTTGGAAATTCACATCAAAGTATGAAACTATACCTATTTAGTGTTGGGCTCTTTGAGTTAAATTCAATTAGATGATCTGCAAGACATCCTAATGGGTCGTTCATGAATCAGCTGGAGAGCTTCTCTTGTCTTCAACCGACCCTTCTCCCCAAAACCAAAACAAAAAAGTTTTACTTTACTTGCGCTGTCCTTTCTGGTGCAATATTGAGTATGATAGTTCTAAAATTACGATAAAGTAGAACAATGAATGTCCTAAGATGAATGGCCTTTTGGAATTTCTATTGCATTTAAGGAAATTCTTGTACCCATTTCTCTTTGTTTTTTGAGATCTTATTACAAATGTTGATGACCATATAGTACATACTTTAGTCTTATTATTATTTCATATTGCTATAAGACTAACAATTTTATATGGTAGTGAATGTTGGCTTTAACGGGACAACAAAAGTATAAAGTTGGAGTAGCAGAGATGAGAATGTTGAGATGAATTTGTAGATATACACGCACAAATAAAATTCCAAATGAGCAAATACAGGAAAAAGTGGATGTGGCATCTATTGAAGAAAAAATGGTAGAAATCATTTGAGGTGGTTCGGACATGTACAAGAAGACCATGGGAGGCACTTGTAAGGAAAGTGGAATAGATAACTTTGAACCTGTTAAGAAAGGCAGAGGAAAATTGAAGAGAATACTTTTGGAGGTTGTTGAGCGAGACTTTTGCTAAAAACTTAATAAATAATAGAGCACAATGACGTCATATAATCCATGTAGACGACCCCATCTAGCAGGATAAGGCTTGTTGTTATTGTTGTTGTATTTCATATGCCAGCTATCCTTAATGTTATTGGTTGGCTTTTCTATAGACTACATTTTCACAAGTGATTAAATCATAATGCATCTTGCTCAGACATTTGTCGGTTTGTATAGGTATGAGCTGGGTCGTCAACCAGCAAATACTAAGCTTTCAAGCAACAAGACAGTCAGGAGAGTTCGTGTTAGAGGTGGCAATGTGAAATGGAGGGCTTTGCGATTAGATACCGGAAATTATTCCTGGGGTAGTGAAGCCGTGACCCGCAAGACACGTATACTAGATGTGGTTTACAATGCCTCAAACAATGAGCTTGTGAGAACTCAAACCCTTGTGAAGAGTGCTATCATTCAGGTTGATGCTGCTCCTTTCAAGCAGTGGTACCTTCAGCATTATGGTGTTGATATTGGCAGGAAGAAGAAAACAGCTGCCAAGAAGGATTCTGCAGAGGTAATGTTATTACTGATCATAAAAATTATATCTTCTGTGATTTTTCATTTCATTTATGATTATAGCTCGGTAAGTCTACCAGATTTGTGGGTTGTTCAAAAAATGTTGGTGCCGGATGATTTAGAAGCCATACTAAACCCATTTTCAAGCACTCCAAATTGGGTGGTTTTGTGACAGTTTTGGATTTTCTTGTCCATGTTTTTTTAAAAGGGACAACATTTCTATTTTAGAAAGATAATATTGGAATGTGGAGATTTTACTCTTGGTGCCCACTTCACCCATTAATGATGTTGTTACATACAATGGGGGACTGTGATAGCATCCTTCTTATTCCATCAACTTTCAATCACTGAAGTCTACTCTCTCATCCCGGCCCTCAACACTTCATTCGGACCCCCTCTTCCAAAAACACCCTATCAAAACTCGAGTGATATAATTAATTAAATATGAAATATATAAGCCATGTGTTGCAATGAAATTGTTCTCTGGATGCATCAAGTATAATTTCGAAGTTCACTCCTGTTATGAATTTGATTTTTGTTTGTCATTTGTCTTGTAGGAGGGTGAAGCTGCTGCCGTTGAAGAGACAAAGAAAAGTAATCACGTGCTTAGAAAACTAGAGAAGCGCCAGAAAGATCGAAAGCTTGATCCCCACATTGAAGAGCAATTTGGTGGCGGCCGATTGTTGGCTTGCATTTCTTCTCGTCCTGGTCAATGTGGCCGAGCTGATGGGTATGCTTAATCATATTTTTGTCAAAATCTGTGTTATTGATCTTTGTTTATAAACATTGATGCTTGATTGTCCTGAATAATGCAGTTACATCTTGGAAGGCAAGGAGTTGGAGTTTTACATGAAGAAAATCCAGAGAAAGAAGGGAAAGGGTGCTGGTGCTGCTTGAATGTAGTGTTCCATTTTTCTTCTGCTTCCAAATTATATCGACTTATTGAATTTTTGCTGAATGGTACCTTCAAAGTGCTTTTTATACAAGGTTCCCTCATTCTCGAGACATTGATCTTTAGTGGGTACAATTTTTTTTAATTATTTGTAATTTTGCTTTAACAGTTGTGACTGATACTCTTCAGTTCTTGTTAATGCTTGTGTGCAATGGGTGTTTTGCTGGACAACCTTCCGAAATTTAATGTTTTAACCCCTTGGAATAATGTATATTCAAAATCTTTATAAATAATTTTTATATTAGAAGAGGTAAATCTGAGCCTTTTACAGAATCTTTTTGGAATTTTGATCACCATGTTACAATAGAAAGGTTCATTTCACTCCGATGTTCTCGATCATTCATATACTTGCCCTCCATCATTATAGAGCATCGTTGTATATATACAAAACAGAATTCGACTGTCAAACTCATTAATAGCATTCTAAAAGCTAGGTTTTTTTTTTGTTTTGTAAATTTAAGAATACGAACACTACAAATTTTCATGAACTAAGAAATTGTTTGGCTCGCTCTCCATTTAATTTCTCAAAAACTTGCATCTTTGTTTTTTCCTCAAGCGGCAATATTAACAAACTCACTAATTTTCTCTGTAAACCTTTTGAAAAATGAATGGCAAATTGGCTCAATGATCAAATCAACCAATTAAAAAAATTCACCCACACCCAACCTTCTGAATTATTTACGAGCGGACGGTTCCAACACTAGTTTCACCAACTACTGATGGAAGTATATCTTTTCCTTAACTTTGTTTAGCTTTGAAATTCATGAGTAAAAACTATAAAGCTCTCATTTAGAGATAATGCATTTCTAATAAAATATGATCTCTGGACTACTGCCCCATTCTTCTGCCAAAGATAAAGGAGTACGAAAATTATTGATATCAAATTATCAATCACGTTCTTTTTTTTTTTTTTTTTCTGGTGCCCATTATCTTAATTCAAGCAACAAAGTCTGGGTCTCAAAGTTCCCATTTGATGCCTATACAGCAAATCTTGGTTAATCATCAGGGGTTCCACCAAAAAATTCAGATCCCCAGACGCATTCTTATCATTATATGATAAAATTTAAACCGCTAACTATTTTATCAGATAATACCATTACAAAGCGAGCTATCATGAACATCACAACTTAATCCAAAACAATTATTAAATTGCTCTCGACAAGCTGTGTCAGAAGTTCCACTGTCCTTGGTACAAATTGATTTAAACCACATGAAAATTAGAAAAATTAAAGTTACAAATAGAATAATCTAATGAACAAATATTGCGTTTGCAAGCGACAATGTATATACTAGTCATGGGTCGGAAATATGAACCCATTTGATGCTAGTTTTGAATGACTCGACTTTCCCACTCATCTCTAATCCAACACAAGAAGGGATATATGACTCTCGAGTTATACACGTGACTACTGACTTGGCAACAACAAAGAGACCGAAGTCCTTACAGCAAAAAATGAACAAGAAAAGCTAGTTTGTGCCAAGAAGCAAGAGGCTAACTTAATTGAGAGCCAAAACCTATAGAAATAAATAGCTTTGGCTGACATCAATGTGCCCAAATGGGAATGAGATTTGGCCATTCTGACCTTCCTTCATATCCCCATATAAGAAGTTTTGAATCCACACCAAAAATCCAAGCCTGGAAATCAACTAACTTGCTCTCCAATCAAATCAAGACCAATAACCAGAAAACTTATCCCTTGAAATAGCAGGAAGTAGAAGTGAATTCCTTGAGCTGATAATAAGCTTCTAACTGAGGCAGTTAATAATATGAATGCAAGAGCAAGTTCTTTCCTGTACAAACGATTTTTCTTATTTCTCCCTGTTTTCTTCGACAATTCTAGTTTGCTTAGCTCCTCAATGCCTGAATCTGAAGATGACCTGTGAAGACTGGTAGATCTCATTAGAGGCTCAGATTCCTTCTCAAAAGCAACCAGATCTGTCTCTGATGATCTTCCCAATTTTTTTGTAACCACCCACTCATAAGAACTTCCAAAGCGAAATAATCCAGAAATCATAGCATTAAATTTAGTAACCGACATAGTATTCTCAAATAGAAGGTAAGGCACTATAAATGGAAATGCATGGAGACATGGAAGAATGCTTAGAATAGACATGGTTCCTGGAACATAACAAACAACCCAGGTTGGCAGCTCAGCTTCTGGAAGGAACATGGTCAATGGAAGAATGATGCAAAAGAGGGTGAATGAATAAAATGGCAGGATAAGCTTCCTTAGGAGGAAGAAAAGGAATATTAAGTTGGCCTTCTTGACCCAATTCACCTGGTACCAAAAGGAAGTAACCATGGTATGAGATTAGATCTTTCTTGAAGTCAAATTACATTTAGAACAATAAAGATGGCATTAACCAGGTAGAGCATTACATACTGCCAGGTTTATAACAATGACTGTCCAAATGATAATATTGATTTAAGCATACATGTAAGTTGCATCTTTAATTTCATTCTCAGCAGAAAGATCTGAAGTACAATTGGGGGACATATGGACAAATTTGACATCAAAAGTTAACCTAAATGGCGGATTAACATGACATATAGGCCCAATGGCAGTGCCAGGACCTTGGGTCATGAGGTGCAACATTTTTAAAATTAATAATTTAAAAATAGCTTAATAATTTAAAAAAAAATTGCACCCCACATGACTTCATGTTATGGAATCGTTAAACAATCATTTCATTGTCAATGCTAAGAAAAATATCTTTTTTAATGTAACTCATTAGATAATTATTTATCAATGGATCTCCCGTACAATTTCACAACCAATTTTTCACAAATTTCGTAAAAGAAAATTCCCTTTCTACTGATGTTGTAGCAACTGTTAATATCATCACTAATTTCAAGAGTATAAAATTTTTTGAAACCCAAATATCTTTGAAGTTGGACTAAGGGGTGCAAAATATTTGATTCAAGAGGTGCAAAGTATTAGAACATATCAACCCTCCTTGTATTTTTCTTTTTTTAAGTCCAGGGGGTGCATTTTCCCCCCATGATTTATATGTGACACCGCCCGTGCATATAGCATAACAGCTCTGAACATATGACACAAGGTGAGGGCAGTACATTGATTGACGCATGTAAAATTATGGATAACATGCGCTGTGCAAGGAGTATGAGACAGACAAGTTAATCTTGAATGGTGAGCTGCAGTTGTCAGTAAGGTTATAAAGGTAACTTCCAGATGAATTGCTGCAGCTAGAGGTATAGTATGTTAACCTACTAGTGATGGGGCATCTAAGCTGGAGGACCCTGTAAGTCCTTTTCAAAAGCATACACAGGTTGATTAGGAGCTCCCTCAGGTCTCAAGGCAGAACAGAGCCCAAGTCTGAGTCCAATGCACCAATAACATTACATAGATCAAGGCATCAAAAGAACATGTTCTTCACATTCATCTTGGGCCGGTGCATATTTGTTTGATATTAAATTATTAACCCCTTACAGAGTGTCCTACAAAAATGCTAGAAAACAAGCAATGCAAATTATTGTCTTGTGCTAGTTGAGTCGTTCCATTCTAGGGAAACATAACGAGCTACATGTGGAAGAACAAACAACTATGATTCTGATGCCTTGTTGAACTTAATCTCAACAACATAAACATAAAATGCAAGAAAAGAAAAGGCAGAATGCGGAGTGAATAAATTGTACGAAGTCCATTAGGATTTTTGAAAGCGCATTAAATGCTGTTACCACTCACAGCAGGTGATATTTTGATTTTCCTGTCCATTCTACAACTTTTAGCAGTTTTTTGTGGAAATAAAGCAACCTAGAAATTAAGTTCTAAATTTAAGACATGGAGCCTATTGCAATTTTGCTTTCCATAAATTCTTCCAGTCTAAACAAATGTTTAACATTTGTGCTCTAAGTGTGCTTTTTTTCAACAAGAGTTTTTCCCCCCATATGCTGCCTTGAGGATACCATTATTTATAATAATAGATATGAAAGGTTTATAGAATTCATATAAATTCAAGTACTCTGAATTCATGAATAAACTTCAATACCTTTGAACGGAGTATATCAACAAAACACAAACGAAACAATTGCATTGGACCAGAATGCCAGCGGTGTTGCTGCTTCTTATACGCCTCATAGGTCTCAGGGAGTTCACAAAGGCACTGGGAAAATGCATAATAAAGATATAAATACCTCAGAAGTTCTGATTAGATCTCAAGAGAAGAAAAGCAAAGCACCTTCACATCATTTAGAAAGATGAACTTCCATCCACAGAGATGAGCTCGAACAGCAATATCCATGTCCTCAACAGTAGTTCGTTCCAACCAGCCACCACTCTCCTCAAGAGCCTTTATCCTCCAGACACCGGCAGTTCCATTGAAACCAAAGAAGTTAATGAACACGCCATTGACCTGTTGTTCAACCTCAAAGTGGAAAGATAAATTTATATTCTGCAATCTCGTAAGCAAGTTCTCATCCTTGTTTACAAATGCCCATCGTGTCTGGACCAATGCTAAATCATCTCTCCCCTAGAGTAAGACAAAAACAGAAAATAACATCTACTTAGAATTAGAAACACTATTAGGCCAAGTTAATCCAAAACAATGACAGTTAACCAAAAAAAAAAAAAACACACACACACACACAAAAGAAATGAAGAGAAGAAAAAGTAAAAGGAGGAGAAAAAAGGACCTTTAGTTATTTTTATTTGTATCCTAGGTGGAATTAGGCAGAACAAGTAATAAGTGGGTGATGACATCATGCGAGAGCCAAATTATTCAATAAAACTAATTGAAAACCAGATATAACAATAATGTATTGGTCAAATAGCAACTGAAAAAATTCTTATGTTCAAAGTAATAATTCTTAATGTCTCAACAATCTCAAAATATTTGATTCTCAGAAAGCATTTTGCCGTCCAGATTCCTTTGAATGTCTCGTGTCAAGAGCAAGGAGTCATAAAAAAGGATTTACATTTCCAGAGAAAATGAAAATTGTAACATTTGTAATATCGCAAAGGAGGCTTGCTTTTAACATATTTTATTAGCATAGATTAGGATTTTACAAAGATAAAAGTGGATCCCCCACAGAACAACTCTGGTTTTGCAAGTGAGGACAGTGGATGTGCACCATGTGTTCTTGCATTAGAAAGCACTACAGGGCAGCAAGTGCTGCATAGTTATGCCAAGAGTAGGCTTTCCTAGTGACACTGCAGTAAATTTATCACAAGATCAGAACCAATGTGAACCATAACATGGTGCAAATGTTGACTAGTTTGTCAGGGCATTTGAGCTTAAGAATGCATATTCTTTAATTTTAAGTAAACTACAACTTCTTTCTGAGTAATTAATCTGCCTGCATATGCAAGTAGACCATTCTAAAGTTAAAAGGGGCAAGGAACTGAATGTTGTTAAGTGCCAAAGAATCTTTAGTCTCGTCCAGATAAATCCAAGAAAAGAGGAAGACATAAAACATAATTTTTTACACTAAAAGATTAAAAACACACAAAGAGCTTTCTACCAAATGAAAAAAAAAAAAAAAAAACACACACACACACACACAGCTATAACTGTTTTCTGTCATGCTTATAGCATCAACTGCTATATTTGCTCAAGGCCTCAAGCCAATAGTATCTCAAATTTTAACTTAGTCATAAAATTACCTTAAAATGAGGTATTGTCCTTTTTAAGAAATCCGGTGCTGGCTGAAAATCAGCATCAAATATTGCCACAAACTCGTATTCTTTAACATAATCACAATTCATTGCTGATTTGAGATTCCCTGCCTTATAGCCAGTCCGTATGAGACGATGTCTATATACTATTCGCACACCTCTATGTTGCCATTTCTGTACTTCTGCCATGATAAGATGTTGGATATCTACTTCATCAGAATCATCAAGGACCTGCACAAGCATTCTCTCCTTGGGCCAATCCAGGATACAAACTGCGGCAATAGATTGCTGATAGACCTATGAGACAATGGGACCAAAAGTAAGCATTGCTAACAAATAGCAAAAGGTAATATAAATCAAGATTATTGAGCTACTAATTTAACTAGTGTCTGCCACTCCATTCATCAAATTATGTCCATATATACTCTCCTACTTTAGTTTCCTTTCTGTAAAAGTAGGAACGGGCTTAAATAGGAATATAAAAAAATGGAAAGAACAAGAAAATATAAGAGTACATGATGGCCTGTAGAAGCTTCTAATTGTTAAAAAGAAAATACTCTTCTGCTTTACTCTCCTACCACATTGTTTACAATGGCATTTTGGCATGTAGAAACTTATAATAATTCCTTTGAGGTAACCGGGAAACCCTACTTTGGGTAGCTATATGTTAATTGTATGGTGGTGTAATATATGTGTTTGGAATGACAATTGTGTTTTATGAATGTGTATAAAATGTTATGAATCCATGTGTTTATGTAATTTCTTCAATTTGAACTACAAATGCTAAGAGATTACGGAATGAGTTGAGTTCTATAATGATGGTTAATTGGTGTTGATAATGATTGAGAATGATAATGACAAATGTACTATGATTTACGTGAAATGAGACTTGATGCTTACTTGGGTAGCGTACGGTCGTGAGCCCAATGTGTTGATTTATAATAATAAAATAATGAGATTGTGAAAATAGTGAGCATCAAACATGGCATGATCAGTGGGTAGGAGTTCGCCTAGGGATTGGGAGTAAAGAAACAAATCCATATGATATTAGACTGCCCTCCAATGCACAGGGGCACATGATGCTGGCCAAATGCTAAGAACATCTTGTTATGCATTCAACTTTACATTGTAAAAAAAAAAAAAAATCATTGCTAAAAGCATCAAGACTGAATTGTCATCTAATGTTAAAAAAAATCTTCCAAATTCTTTTTTTATATAATTATCTATTATTCATGGGCCGAGTTGGGTAGGACCACATTGGTAGCACAGCTCTCCCAACGAGTATTCAACACAGCTGCATACTCAAGACTCGAACTCAAGATCACTAGTTAAGCTAGCATTACTCCTTACCAGTTGAACTACATGCGTGCTTAAAATGCAAGTCCTGCCTCCTATACAAAAGGAAACGGAACTTACAATGCAAGTCTTGACTCCTATATAAAAGGAAATGGATATAACCCAATAATGTTTATACATCTATATGATCTTAATGCTCTAAGAATCTAAAAACAGTATGTATTTAGTCCATTCTCTTTTCATATATGCTCCTTTATATTTATACATGTCATGGGACTTCATTTCAGCAACTCTACCCTCCGCCTTTCAAATTCCCTTTTCTCCCTTTTTCCTTGATAAAACCTTTTTCACCTTCTCAGAAACTAGAATAGCAAAGTCCTTTTTTTATACTATAAGGTTGCATAACACTTAAATTCCCAGGTTACCAGTCCCCAGAAACCAACTGCATCAATCTTAAATCTCAACAATCTCTTTCTGCTGTTCAGACAAGCAATCAGTCTCTTGACATCCACTGGCCTTTGTGAATTATGATCAAATTATTCAAATCCTACGTTATTTTAACTTCATGTTCATCTACAGGCATCAAAGTTAAAAACTGTGAAACAAAATCCCAGATCCAAAAGCTGTCTTTGCCAGCAAAAGCCTGTGACGGACCAGACAAGATACCAGTGGGTTAACGAAGTATCTCCATTATCAACATCTATCATCTATAGTTCATGTCTATGGCAAGGAAATGGGCTCTTTGACAAGATTCACAAGATTTGTTGTTGAAAATTTATTACAATTTGTTAGTGTCTGTTGCCGTTAGTTGCGTAAATATTCATTTAAGGATGGATGTAAGAGTTGAGTCACATCAGTTAGCTGTTGGCTGGACCGGATTAGTTAGCCAAGCCAGGAAGGCTAGTTAGTTGAACTGACATTAAAAGGAGAGGAAATGTGAGATTTATTCGTTCCTAAAGTTGAATAAAGTTACGATTTTATTTTCCTCTCTTTCCTCCTTTCAATTTCTTCATTTTCCATTTGCTATCAGAACCAAGTGTGGACCCAAAGGTTGTTAGGAAATAGTGTTTCAGGGTTGCCATAGTACTCTTCCCCCCCCCCTTTCAAATTGTGTAGCTAGAGCTCTTTGAAGTGAAATTTTTTCAAGATAGGACTTAAACTTTGCCTGCCATCTACTTGATATTGGAGGACATTGGATTAATTCCCTTTTCGCTGACGTTCATACGGATGCAATCTTAGTGGAGTAAGAGGAACCTGTCCAATGGCATCATAGATCACTAAATCCTCAAAGAAGCAACTTGGTTATAGTTGGACCATAAGAGGGCAAGATAAAGGTAAAAATTTCCCCAATTAAACAGCCACAATGTTTAGCAAAATTTACAGGCATGCTATTGCCTTGTTGGCTGCTAATTCGGTAAACCAAGTCAGAACAATCAGTATCAGCCCAACGGTTGACCTAAGAACAAAAGGGAGGAAAATAAGGAGAAAGAAAGATATGAATGTTTTTACTATAGTAAGAGGGCAGTTTACATCTAATATAAGTTGAGAAATTTAAGTTTATGAGAAGCCATGTAAGGATAAAAGAAAACCAAGCACGTCTCATTCCCTTCAAAGAATGAAACCCATTAGGTCTGGTCTAGTGGGGAAAGTTATGGCAGTTAACAAGAGGTTTTAGGGCATGTTAGGGGTGGTATTGCGTCACCCCAAATGGTTCAAGCATCTCCTGCATCATTTGATAAAAACAAAACAGAAAGAAGTATCTTTCAGCTAGCATACGCTATCAAATAATAACACAGGATGTCCCGTTAAAAATGTATGTTTTACATAAATTAGCCAACAGAATATAGCTCCATCCAAAAGTCCAAAAACCCAACCACGTTAAATGGCAACTCCCTATGAAACTTCATCAAGCTAATACTTGCAGCTTTAGAAACGACAATTTAGGTTGGATGTATCATAATGGCCAAAAAAGAGAAGGTAGGATGTATTTGTCATGCATACGAGGAAGCTGAAATAAATAAATGACTGGAAATTATAGAACAAACAACAGAAGATTCAAATTTCCTTTTTAGCATTTAAACTTCATTTAACGACTGCCACTAACTTATGCATCCAACTTTAGACGAATTGAGCAAAAAATCTTCCGGAAGGATTATGAAACCCACAAATTCTTACCTCCCTCTCATTGCACATTGGAATCTGAACTAAAACCATTGGATAATCCTCCACATTCACATCCTCATTCTTAGCATTTGTTGGATACTCCATGGCCGCCACTGGTTTCAGACGCCGGAATTTGATCCAGCAACATCCCAAGATCAAAATCACTCTATCAATCGACTGTATCAAGAAGAGCACAATGCACATATTGGTTAAGCTCTGCAGCGGCGGCGCCAGGTAATTTGCCCGAATCTCAAGCCATCTCGCATAAATAAGACCAATCATTCCATACACGTCGGCACGAGCCGACGGCGGGCTGAAATGCCATCCTTTGAAGTAAGCAACTAGCTCAAACACAAGCAAAAGGAGAACGACAACCAAGAACACCTTGATTGCACGATAAAGCCTGGACGACTTGGAATCGGAACGCGAATCAGGCGAGGCAATCCTGCGGTTAGCGGTGCGGACTAATGAGAGAAAGCCATTGGACAGCCAAGCAAGAGAAGTCGCGATTTGCTGGAATCTTAAAAGGCAAACCCAGGAAAGCTGACGAGCACTTCGGGCACGCTCCTTCTCCACCGACTCTCGATCGGAAGGGACAGTTTGAATGTCAACGGTGAGGAAAGAGCGAGTGGAGCCGTCGGATTTGTCATCAACAAGGTCATGGTTCGTAGCTCGCTGCTTGTTCCACCATTCCTGAAACTCGCGGTTTGGGGGTCGAGACATAGAAGAATAAGGAGGAGGAGGAGAAGAAGAAGCAAGAGAGAGAGAGAGAGAGATCTGAAGAGCCACCAAGTAGAGTGGTTTTCTTTCAGTCCCTCTTTTTCCTGTGTCTGGAGCTGCGTGCGTCGGAGACCGGACGAAGGCAAGGAGGTTACAGGACTCGTCTATTCTTGGAAAGATTTTGCAATAACCTCGGAGTTTAGAATTAGAACCTTATTTAGTTATTTACCTTTTTGGTGAAAAAATATCACAATTAATCTAGTGAAAAGTGAGAATAATAAATAAATCCAATCTCAAGAACTAGATCATAAAATAGGACTACAAATGGAATAATTATTCTGAAATCTTTGGAAACCTATCTGATATAATTTTTTTAAATTACACTTATAACCCAATGAAAGATCATTGGAAAAAAAATTAGTTATCATTTACTGTTCAATTTTAATCATTTCTATCGTTACTCTACAAACCTTTGCACTTGACTAATAAAAAAATTACAAAAATTTAATTGTCATTTGTTGCTTAATTTTGGTCGTTTTCTCATTTGAAGTGATCATTAATTTTCCTCCTTGAAGTAGCCACTTGCCTGGACCCTTGCATTTGATTGATAAAAAAAAATTGCAAAAATTAGTTATCATTTATTATTCAGTTTTATTCAAAAGCCAATAGAAGTAATTATTTTTCCACTTGAAGTAATCATTTTATCATCTTAAAGTAGTCATTTTCTCACAATGTGATAAAACAAAATTTAAATTTTGCTTAGAAAAGTATTTATATTTAATAATTAATTGTATCTCAAATAAAATTGTCGCTAACAAAAGAATACCTAAAAACAATAAAAAAAAGTAAATAGCAAATAATAATTAACTTTCTGCAATTTTTTATACCAGTCTAGTCCAAAAGATTTTAGGTCAATGACTACTTCATATTTAGAAATTACTACTTTAAATGGGGAAGTGATTAAAATTGAATAATGATTGAGAACTAATTTTTTTTCCTTTTGCTTTGCAACGAGTTGAAAATGTAATTTCATTAAAAAAAAGATTGTTAGATAAGTTGCTAGAAATTTTAGGATAATTATCTCATTTCATGATACTTTTTTGTCATTTGTCTGTTTGGATATAAATTGTTTCTCATTTTTCCTAGCGAGAGGAAAATGAAAAATATTTATCAGAAAGTTATTATTTTTGCATGTAAGAAAACAATTAGGATCCATTAAAGAGTATCTGATTTTAATTTTGTCCAAATTAATAGTTTAGAATCCTAATTTTATTTAAAATAATAAGTTGCCTTGACTCATATGTCAAATGTTATGCTGTCTAAAATTTCTTTCTTTAGTTCAGCCTAGCAAAATTTATGTGTTGTTGACCCAAAAAGAAATCCTTGTAAGATTTATCTTAATTGAATCATTTTAAATTAAATTTTCCAAATTTATGCATTCGTTTTTTTCTTTGTTTATTCAAAAGGTATGCATTCGATTTTTTAATCTTGTTTTTATTGCACTCTAATCACATATATCTGAGGTTAAATTTCTGATGATTATGTTAGCCTTAGAACATTCACGCAAGAACTACAGAGGAAGGTGTTTAAAATTTCAATAATTGTGTCCTTTTGAAACAAATGCATGGTATGATTAAAAATTTTAACTTCATTATTGTTTGATACTACTATTTTTTTTTTTTGTAGGTGGATTGGAATAGACTTGGTACTATCTAAGAAATGCTCTACGTTATGAGAATTTCTATCTTATAAGACCTTGTTTAAATGGAGGAAAAAGTCAAAAGAAAATAGGAATGAGAGAAAACTAAGGGAAATTTTTTAAAAAAAGTAATTATTTTTTTACTATTTTTAAAAATTTTTTTTCATAATATCCTTTTCCCTTTTTTTTTTAATGTCCAAACGAAGGGTTAGCTCTTACCACTATTTAGTTCAGACTTCAATATATAGATCATCTTATGGAAATATCTCATGTCCAAAATATAAGTCATACTCTCCAATGTCTTAAATTTTAGGTTTATTTAAGGATTTATCAAATATAAGAATTTATTTCATCTTATCTCCTACGTTAATTTTTTCCTATAATACTCCTATTTGTATTGGGCTATTTATATATACGCAAGAAATTTTAATCATTTGGAAAGGATATTTTTGGAAAATAATTCTCTATATACCGTACTACGAATTACAAATAACTATTTTTTTTTTTATATTTGCAAGGTAGTAGTTATTATCATTCATATTTAAGCATAAAAGAAGTTCTTTAGGTTTTTAATATAAGATAAAGTTTGAATTTTTTTTGTTAAAAAAATAAAATGAAGTTAGAGTAATTAATATTTTTCAATTTTACCTCTTATATATTTATTGTCATTTGAATTTTTAAAAAATAATTTATTATGTTCATTAATTGCAAAAAAAATTGAAATGTTGCAATTTTTTTACAATTTTTTATAACTAATATTTCTTAATTCTTAATAAGTGTGAAGTTTATTGATTCCATTTTATATTAAGGACCTAATTATTATTGACTTGCAACACTTTTTTCATAGAAGAAATTTAATAAAAAAATTAGTTAATCATGATAATTTGTAAGAGAATTTCAACTAAGTCACATAGTTTAAAAAAATTAATTAATTATAATAATTGTGTTTGAAATTAAAATATTGTGACTAAAATGTTTTTGTAATTAATGTTTAATTTTTCCCTCTAATTTAATGAAGCTATCCATTGATGAGGGACAATTTGAGAAAATATAATCAATACTTCTTAAAATTTATAGTTTTTCTTATACTGCTGTTACCGCTACCGCCACCGCCACCGCTACTGCTACTTCTACTCCTACTCCTATACCACCACTACTATACTATCACTATCATTATCACTACTACCATCGTCACCACTACCACTACTACTACTATTACTACACTACTATCGTTATTATTACCATTACAACTACAATTACCATCACTACAACTACCACTTATTACTACTACCATTACCATCACGGCATCACCACTATTACCACTACTGATACCATCACCACCACCACCATCATTATTACTGCTACTGCTACTATCACTATTATCATTACTGCTACCACCACCACTACTACTATTAATACTACTGTCACCACTACTGCTACCACTATCACACTACTGTTATTACTACTACTACAACCATCACCACCACTTTTACTACTACCACTACAACTACTGTTACTACTACGACTACTACCACCATTACTACCACTACTACCACCACTACTACACTACTATCACTACCATCACTACTACCGCAATGACTACCACACTACTACTACTATCATCACCATTATTATCACTATCACTATTATCATTACTACTACTATTATGACTATTACTACACTACCACCACCACCATTATCACTATTATTACCACATTGTCACTACCACCACTACCACACCACTACTATTATATTACTATTGCTGCTGCTGCTGCTCTTCTACTATTATTGCTACTTTTGCTGTTGCTGCTGCTACCACTGATCCTAATTCTCCTACCATTGCCATCACCACTTCTATATACTGCTGCTGCTGTTGCTCCTCCTACTCTTATTGCTGTTGATAATAATAACAATAAAAAGATAGTTTCTCTTATATTTAAAAACAAATAGTATATGAAATGGTAAAAAGGTAAATACCTTCTCTTGTAATAAATAGCAATCATGGTTAGATAGCAAACCTTACATTTAGGTGTAAAGAGTCATATTACTTACAAGCCAATAGTATAATTCATTTCAAACTTCATGCATATGCATAGATCTACATGCTTAAGTCTACATCAAGCTATACATATCAAGAGATTTTTTATATGGTTATCCGAGTGAATTAAATTTAAACATTGTTAGACTCATTTAAAAATGACTCTCTCAAAAATATTTTCTATATTTATATGAATTCAAACTCGAAATTCGGTACTTCAACGATCATAACTTTTTTTCTTTAGAATCAATGCATCTTGGTATTACCAAGAGATTTATATGTACAAGAAACTTTCAATATTTTTTCTGGTAAAAAAACTTGCAATATTTTTTTTTAATTTTTCATAAGTATCTTCCTGTTGAAACTGGCAATATTTGAAATTATTATATTGAACATGAACATTAAATTTGATAAGCCCAATTTCAATCTGGACTCTTAGATTTGTACAGCCCACCAAAGTGCAAAAGAAGGAAAGGAAAGAAGGGGGGAAAAGCTTTACATAATCTTTTTTTTTTTTTTGGTCAAAGCTTTACATATACTTTTAACTTGGATTTTCTGCCTGACTTTTTATTTCCTAACTATTTTTTTCTTATTTCTTTTTCATTGTAAACATCTTGAAAATATGTAACAAATAAGGGGTCATGTGGCCAAAATAATCAAATAGTTACAAAAATGTTTGTTAGGTTTTCAAAGTTTCACCTTTTTTTTTTTCCTAAACAAAATCAGTTGATCTTACATTCTCCATCTTTCTCTCTCTTACATATTCATCTTTCAAAGAAACCTAGATACACACGAAAAGTATATTTATGACACACGAAAAACTTAACAATTTGAATATGTTGGTCAACATTTAAAATTAAAGGAATACCACATAACTTCCTAAATTCAAATTATTTATATTTTGCCTCTAGCCTGTGTTATATATATTTAAAAGATTCGAGCAAGTTGAAATAAGAATTAGTTCTTTCAAATCTCCCGGAGAAATTTGAGGTGACTGATTTTTTTAGTTTAAAAAATAAAATCAGTTTGACTTAAAAAAGTCACAAAAAAAAATTGTTTTGGTCAATGTCACTATCTCCATTAGCAAATTCCAGCTTGCCTTGTCTGAAGAGTGTTAGAAGCAACAAGTGATGATAGAGACATACATGTGAAATATGAATTCCACAAAATGTTCGTGGTTCGTTACATTTCAATTTTGTCCAACGTAGGAATCAAACCATGCTTCTGTAAAAGCCCCGAATTTTTTATAATAATTATTTTTATTAATTATCATAAGAAAAATTAGCCCTGAAATTAGAAATGTGACTAGAGGTTAGGAAGAACCCAAAACAATAAAATAAAATTATATATATTAATAAAGCTTATCAAATATATTTTATAACTTTATTTTTTAAAAATAAAAAT